GGGGGATCCCAGGGATGCAGGGGGGATCCCAGGGATGCAGGGGAGGGGGGGATCCCAGGAATGCAGGGGAGCAGGGGGGATCCCAAGGATGCAGGGAAGGGGGGGATCCCAGGGATGCGGGGGGGATCCCAGGAATGCAGGGGAGCAGGGGGGATCCCAGGGATGCAGGGAAGGGGGGGATCCCGGGGATGCAGGGAAGGGGGATCCCAGGGATGCAGGCCCTCAGCTTTCCTGCAGTTTCAATGGCAGGTTGCAGTGCCTGCATCCCTAGGATTTGATGCAGGCTCCCAGAGCTGCCTCCACAACCACGCTGCAGGCTTGGCTTTTACTTTTCTAATAACTCCCAGGCTTGGTGGTTTAATTTTAATAGTAAATGTAGTTTCTATTTATGTCCTGAGACTCCAGGCTGTAAAGAACTTGACTATCCCTAGAAATCCGCATGGGTAATGATCTTTTTTGGCGATAAATGCCTTATTAGCATGCCTGGGACTTAATAATAGATGAGAAAATCAGATGCATTTCATGTCCCAGAGCCAGATTTAGAATTAAAGCTGGTGCTGTTGATGCCATAAGTTTAGTTCTGGGGAGTAAATATATATCTGCTAACTTTGGGAATGTCAGAGGAAAAGAGGAATTGCGAGCACTGGTGGCAGATGCTAAATCTGTACCACGGGCCAGGCTGTTGCTTCAGTTCCTGGTGCTGCAGGAGCAGGGAGCTGCTGTCTGTGCCCAGAGCAGCCATTCCAAATAAATAATTGGAATATCAGCCTTTTGATGAATGCTCAGCCAGCAACTCATGGAAAAACAGATGTTCCCCTTGAGTCCCTGCTCACATTTCCACAGGCTGTTGTTGGGATACAGCCCCAGGCAGGGAACAGGTGTTCCCTGGAATCAGCTGGGGCATGAGTTCAACATCTGGCAGCGTTTGCTTCATTAGCTTTCTAATTGTTTTGTACTCGTTTAATTTCCCTGCTGGTCAGTGGGAAGGGCTTGGAAAAGCCAGGTTTGCACCAGGAGCGTGTGGCTGCGGTGTCAGGAACCTTTTTGCTGTGACTGCCGCTGCTCTCAGGGGACTTTGTGGGGGAGAAATGTTCTGGAGTAGCTTTTGTTGGAGTTCTAGCACTGCTTTGTAAAAAAATTGGAGAGAGTTGTACATGTGTAGAAATACATATAAATAAATACACGTTTCCTAAGTGGAAGCTGCAGGGGAAAAAGGCTACAAAGACTATGGATTTTTTCCTGGTGTAAATTTCAGCGTGTGCTGGTTTGAAGCTGATGCTTCCCGAGAGCCCCTGGGATGTACAGAGCGAGCAGGGTCCTGTGCTCACCTCACATCATCAGTGGCTTAGTCTGAACATCAAGAGCTGTTGGTTTGGCTTTAAAAATAATCCCCAAAGTGACTTTTAGCGTGTTTGGAAAGATTGTTTGGGTTTTTTTTGTCAGTGTGTTGCTGCAGCTGGCTCAGCGTGAGGGAGCTGTATCCACACACCTCCAGAGATGGGGATTTTCCTGGGATGGTTTGGGGGAATGTTTGGTGACAGTCACTCCTGCCTGGCTGCCAGCTCGGGGTGTGGATGGTCCACGTGGGCCAGGTCATAACAGGAGCTGAGAATAAGATTGAGCATGGCTGTGGAAAATACTGAGCTTAAAGAAAGGGGAGAAGCTGGGGTGGAGGCCTTAAGGAACAAGTTCTGTAAGGCATTCCTTCAGCTGCAAGAGGAGATCCTGTCTGTCTGTGTGTCTGGTATCTGCAAGATGTCATCTGACATCTGTCAGCTGCACAAACCCTGCCAAGGAGGCTGTGGAAGGACAGTCCCTGGAAGCAGAGATGTGACACTGCTGACCCCGGTGAGGGTCCTGCCCTGTTGTCACTGCTGCTCTGCCCATCCCAGTTTTGCTGGCTCAGCCATGGGTTGGGCTGAGTTTGATCATTAAACTGGTTCAGATTTCAGGAAAAAGTGAGTTTTCCTTGCTCCTCCCCCTCGTTTGCAGGGTGATGTACGGGTGTGTTGGCGTGGTGGGAACAAGCAGGGAGTAGGAGACAAAAGGAATAAGAATGTGCCAAAGCCTCGTGCTAGCAAACCCTTTGTGCTCTAGAGCAGCTGGTCTGTGTGTGCTGGGAGCAGGAGGAACCACAGAAACATGGAACAGTTTGGGTTGGAAGGGACCTTCAAAGGCCACCTAACCCAGCTCCCTGCAGTGAGCAGGGACATGGACTCACAGAATCATCTAAATTGGGAAGAGCTTTGAGATCATCAGGTTACTGCTCCATCAGGTTAGTGTTCCAACCCTGGCCTTGGGCACTTCAGGGATGGGGCAGCCACAGCTTCTCTGGGCAACCTGTGCCAGGGCCTCAGCACCTTATCATCAAAAGCTTTTTCCTTTCAGTCTTGGCAGCTCCATGCCCAGGGAAGCTGCTGGAGGAGAGTCTCAGCCACTGTGGAGGTGAGGAGAGGAATTGGAAACTGGAGATTGGATCTGAGCAGCTCTGTGATGGGGCTGGGATTCCTGACCCATCTCACCAACAGCCAAGGAAAACCTTTGCTGTTAACTTCCATATTGTCAGCTCCATTTCCATCTTCATCACTGAAAGGATCCTTCTGTCTTTAAATTTGGCCAAACAATGGATTTGACTCTGAAAAATGTGCCAAAGGCTCTGCTGCTTAGCTTTCTTCCCAGGTATCATCCCTGAAGGGTGTCCCTGGTGCTGGCTGCTGCTGCCTGGAGGGGCTCTGGGTCTGCAAGGACCTGGTGTGGAGCATCTCAGGAGTGAGCCGGTGCCTCTGTGTGTGTTTAGTGACTGATGTGGCACCAACAGCAGTGTGACAGCTCCCTGTGCACACTTAAATCCATCCTTCAACCCGAGCATTCCTTCCATTGTTTGGATTCAGGTTTCTGCAATGCAGAGCTGTGCTAGACTTGGGATGCACCTTTGAGGTTTCCAGCCTGCTGTGCTGAAAGCTTTAAGCCACAGCCCTGCTGCCCTCCTTCCTTCCTTCCTGTGTTGCGCCTCTGCACGTGTTGGAGTGAATTCTCACACGTCCAGTTGTGTGGTCTCCTTCTCTGACTCTAAATCATGCAAGGCACACTTCTGCTTTTGCTTTTTCCCTTCCTCCCCTTTCTCTCCTCCAAAATGAGACTGCTGCTGAAACACAAGCGTTCACTCTGGCCATGATGCAGCATAAAACTCTTCTGTGAGTATTTCCCCTTGGCTGTAATTAGTTTTTGTGTTCAAGGAGCAATTTTAAACACTCATCCAGAGCCATTACAAAGGAGCATCTGTGTGAGGACACGTTTTGTGCAGCTGAGGAGCAGAAGGGCCTCTGGGATGGAACCAAAGGCAACTTCTCAAGTTAATTGTAAGATTTTATTGGTGTTTCACTCGGCTGCTCAAGGGTTTCTCATGCGAATCGATGGCAGACTGCCTAATTTATGTGTGAGCCCCGCTTGAAAAGCAGCCCCGATTGATTTGCTGACAGTGCACGGGGAAAGGTGACCCTAATTTGTGACTTCAAGAGGCCTGTGGGGACAGGGGGGTGCTGGAAACTTGGGAAAATGGAACTGCAAGTTTTTGCTTTAGCTTGAGAGGTTCCCCATCCCTGTTCAGTAAAACATCATTAATTTGGGGTGTGGGTAGCTGTTTAGTATTATAAAAGATATTGAGATGTAAAAACCAGTCAAAGCAGTTTTTATCTTAAATGTTTACTCATCTAAGACTTTTTAAGCAAATCCTTTGTTGCTGGCCAATGTTGAATTATTTGATAAGTCTGATGAGTCTCTTTTCCGTCTGTGTGTTTCTTTGTTAATGACCTCGGTCCTTTGCTGAGCATGCAGGAGAAATAGTAAATAATTCAAAGTAGAGCCTCGCTGCGGAGACTTTTCTTAACTAAAATGAGCCCAGGAAGGATGGACAGTGAATGTACAGCAAGAGACACATTTGGAGGTGGAGCAGTGTGAAATGGCTGTGCCATACAAGTACTTAGAAAATAATCCAGTGGTTCTTCCTTCACTTTCCACATAAAAACCCTCAGTGCCTTCATCTTAGCTTGGTCTCCCACAGCTTGATGCCCCAAGGTGAGGTGCCCTGGGGACAGTGACAGCAGCAGGGGGGGTGTGGAGGTGGCAGCTGTGTTTGGGTGTCTCAGCTGCCACCACCAGCCCCGGAGTCACAACCGCTGCCTTTGGCTGTGGGGACAGTGACAGTGGCCAGGGGCTTCCAGCAGGCTCAGCACTGATGTCCTGCTGGGCTGTCCCTGTCACTGACCGCACCCAGCAGCCCCAGGGAGTCACCCCTGTTGGGCTGAAGCTTCTCTCCATACCATTTCATCTGTGCTGAGCCTCTGTCTCAAAGCTTCAAGCGTATTTTGGGCTTTTGCCTCTGCTCTAGAATTCCCAGTGGTTTGGGGTATTGCTGAGCGAGCCGGGGTTACCAGCAAGCGCCCAGGTGATTTATAAACCTCCTCTGCCCAAAATCAGCCCAGACCCTTTCTCCCACGCTCTCTTTGACTAGATTGGCTCCTCTTTGTAGGCTCCAAAAGCTGGGCTTAGTCAGATGTTCCTCAAACGCTGCTGGAGAAGGGGGGCCAGGGCGGGCTGGCTCCTCACTCATGATAAGCTTTTCTATATATAAAACTGCGTGGCTGGCTGCTGATAGCACTAATGAAACCTTCTGTTAACTCTTTCACACATCAGCAGCAGGTACAGGAGGTGCCACCGGCTCTCCCCGAGTCGTTTTGCTAATTGAGAGCAAGTTCTTAATTGCAGGCACTCAGCCCTGCATTGCAGAACTGCTGCTGCCGCAACCCCGAATGTCAGTGATGAGGAAATGGTGAAACGGCCCGAAAAAATAGGAGCAAGTCCAAGCCCAGCTGCAAGGGAGAAGTAAAAAAACCCCACAAACTGAAAAGAGTCGGTTCTTCCTGCAAAAATGCCACACAACAGAGATTCACCTCAGGGGATTGATTACACGAACCTGCGGAAATGTGGGGATTTAAATACTGCAGGCGGCTAATTCAGCTCTTCCTGGGGCTGAGGAAACATTCCTTAGCTGCAGGAACACATCTGAGAGAGGTTTTGTTCTGCATGGGAGCAGCTGGCAGAGAATGGCACCTGTGCATGGGGTCACCTGCTGGCCGCTGGTGTGTGACACCGAGCGTGGATGGGGGACAAGGTGAGACACAGGGGGTGGGACACTGGAAGGGGAGCTGCAGGAGGGATGGTGACATCCAGCTTTGGGATTTGCTGTCCTGCTTCCCAGTTTGTGGCTGCTCTGGCTGAAGCTGTCGTGCAGCGGGATTTGGGCTCATAGCAGAGCGAGGTTGTCACTGCAGCAAGGAGCTGTCCCCTCGGAGCTGCACTGGGCTGGCTGAGGCACAACTGGGCGCTGCAGGCACGAAGGAAATTCTCTCTGGCACTGAAAAGAGAAGAACCAACTTCTGATGAATTTTGTGGTTTCTGAAAAGACTGGCGGGTGTGTGGAGCTGGTGTTGCTGCGCCGTCACGAGATGGCCGAGCGTGCTTCCCCGAGGGGAGCGTTCCTGCTGTCCTGAACGCTTGAAGGTGGGTGAAGGAACAGGTGGAAAAGTGCTGGATTCGCTCTCCTCATCAGAAAAGGCTGATGGAAAGGCTCCTGCCCTTCCTGGGATGAGCAGAGAATGGGCAGCCAGAGGCGCGTGATGCCATGGGAGCAGGAATGGGACTTGGGCTGTGACGAGGGACGGACAAACTGGTTTTCAGGTGGAGTTGGGTGTTTCCAAACTGGGAACAGGCTGGAGCTAGTCATGGCTTTGGGAGGCTGTGAGGGGCAGGAGGTGAGGGCGCGAGGGGCAGGAGGTGAGGGCGCGTGAGGGGCAGGAGGTGACGGCGTGAGGGGCAGGAGGTGACGGGGCGTGAGGGGGCAAATGCCAACCCATGACAGGGATGCTGAGGACCTGGAGATTTGGATGAGCAGTTCAGGTTGCCAGGACTGGGACAGGTCCAGCCTGTGGTGAGGGACTGGCCTTGGGGACTTGTCAAGGACCTTTTCCAAACGAGCATTTTACAGCTCTGTTGGTTTTATTTAGAATTAATCCTCTTGCACTTGTGTAAGCACCTAAATAAAACATGACTCATTTAATTAATTACACTGAAATCATGGGACTTTACACTTCACTTTAGGTAGGAGTTATTTTATCTCCTTTAATGATTAAAGCCTCACATTAAAGTGACACAACTCAAATTAAACTTAAAAAATATACGATATGGGGACTTCAGGTTAACCTACTTATTTGTGTTTGGAGTTGCTTTTTATAACAGAAGGAACTATAGGAAATTAGTTGAGATTTAAATTTTGAGAAATTTAAGCAATTTTCTATACATTAGATAATCAGGAAATAGTGTCCTCCCTGTGTTGACTTTGGAACTGTATGATCACTTCAGAAATGTACCTGCTGAGTTTTGCAGGATATTTCTGGCAAAAGCTGGTCAGGAAAGGGCAAAAAACTGGCTAAAGAATTCTCCAAAAACTGTTGGAGGGTAAATGTACATCTGTGAGAGAGTGCATTAGTCATCCTGACCTCTTTTATTGCAGCATGAAAGCAGCTTTGAATTTCAAAATATTTTTCATCTCTTTGTCTTTCTGAAGTAGTTCCTTCTGGTTTTTTGTGTGCACTTTTCCTAACGTGGTCACCCTGTGCTGGACACTGGGGAGGCCACACCTGGAATTCTGGTGGCAGCTTGGGCCCCTTGGGACAAGAAGGACATTGAGCACGTCCAGGGCAGGGAACGGAGCTGGGAAGGGGCTGGAGAATTCCTGAGGGAGCTGGGATGGGCAAAGGAGGCTCAGGGGGAATTTCTGGCTCTGCACAAGTCCCTGGCAGGAGGGGACAGCCGGGGGGATTTGGGATCTGCTGCCAGGGAACAGGGACAGGAGGAGAGGGAAAGGCCTCAGGCTGGGCCAGGACAGGCTCAGGGGGAATATTTGGGAAAATTGCACCCTGGAAAGGTTTGCCCAGCCCTAGCACAGCTGCCCAGGGCAGTTTGGAGTCCCCATCCCTGGAGAGATTTAAAATCCTGCGGATGTGGCACTTGGGGACATGGAGCAGCACTGGGGGAACAGTTGGACTCGATCTCTGAGAGCTTTTCCAACCTAAAAGTTTCCATGATTCTGTGGTGGAGTTTTCTGATCTGACAGCTGCCTATTCCAAGCCTGACCTGTGTAGCTTTGGATATGACATCCCAATATCTTCACATTGCTTCATTCAGAGCCACTCAGGCATGGAAAAGAAATCTCTCCTCCTTTTTTCCCCTTGATTTCCAGAACTGTGGTGTTGCAGATAAGCCAGATGTGCAATACATGAGCAGACAATGTATATTTGTCCCAAATTAAAGCTGTGGAGTTCATTATGCTCCTGGTTTTAAAAACATCCTGATTTTAATTTAGTTTATGTCCCAGAAAATCAACACAACTGCTTTGAGTAATCCTGGTGAAATAAGAACATGACGAAATAAGAGGGGTCCCTGTCACACTCAATGCTGGTGCCTCCTGGTGACCACGGAGTAATTTGGGTTGGGAGGGACCTTTGGAGCTCCAACCCATTCCTCTGGTCCCTGCCATCCATTCCTGGGTGCATTTGTAGAAATCCCAATGACTGAAAAACTCCCCCACTGCTTTTCAAGTGGGCCAGTCACTTTGTAGGGGTGGCATGTCACCAGCAGTGGCAGCTAATCCTGGCTGCTGCAGCCCTGTTAATGCAGTGCTTAATCTGCTGGTGACAACCCGTGATTTATGTTCCCGGGAGATCCCAGCCTTGCTAATTGAAATGGATTGGAACTCGTGTTCGCCATGATAGGCTGGGTTTGGAGGACTCAGGATGCTGGGAAAGACACTCAGAACTGGGTAGAATTTAAAAATTAACATTACAAAAGTGGTAATTCTTGTCTGCATTCAGGTGTTTCTCTTTAAATATCATTTTTTTTGGAACAAATAATGGATTTGCCCCATGTGCTGACCTCTTCTTCCATGGAAATCAAAGCAAATATAATAATTTGTCCACCTGAATTAGACACAAAGTGACTAAATAAGTAAGACAGTCTATCAAGTTTGATTATTCCAAATGGAAATTGATTTTATTCAGTTAATTGGTGCTTTGCCTCTCGGTCTCTTACATGTAAGTGATTATTCTGATTTGTAATTGTTTAATCTAATTATTGCCGTCTCTTTGAAATGATCTTTACCGAGGGTATTTGTATAGAATACATGAGGAATTTTCACAGTCAGATATAATTTTGTGAGCAGTTACATTAAATTATAGATTTTTATAAAATTACCTATTTGTCCCTGAAGTTCCCTTGGTGTTTCTGAAGGGGTTGGAAATAAAGCTTGCCTGGTTTTTATTTGTACAATAACCCCAACACTGAGTGTGCTGTAAACGGTCCCATTAAAAAATTATGGGCTTTATGGTGAAATTTAATTCTCATCACAGATTGTTTTCTAATTTATCATGTGGCTGAATTTTGGGGAATATTTCCCAAGTGCAGAGGCCTCTTCATGAGCTTCTTGCTGGGCTGCACTAAACACAAACATCTCCACAAACTCCATGCCTTTTTATTTTCCCTCTGGATTTTAGGGTATCCTGAGTCTCGAGGAAGAACTACAAGGATTCAAAAATAAGAAAAAGAAAACCTGATCTCTTTGGGTTTTTTTAAGCTCCTGAATGTTAAATCGATGTCAGAACATGAGACTCGATCAAACTTCTGGAAATTGGATTTGGGGCTTAATGTCTAACTCTGAGTAACAGATTATTATGGAATGCCTGGGGAATTCTGACAAGCTGGTTCCAGCTGCTGGCCCATGGGAGGGTGGGATGTCCCTGATGAGCTGAGGGCAGGAATCTGAGGTCCTGCTGCTCCACAGGCTTTGGGGCCCGGGATGGGGATGGAGGGGCCTGGCTGTGGTCAGAGGGGTCTGGGGGACTTGGCACTTCCTGGAGCTGTTGGTTCATTTTTCTTGGAAACATGAGGGATGAAGGGTTTAACTCCAGTTGGACAGGGTTTGGAGCTAGCTGGGACAGTGGAAAGTGTCCCTGTCTGTGGCAGGGGTGGGATGGGATGGGCTTTAAGGTCCCTTCCAGCCCAAACCACCCTGGGATTCCGTAATTCCATCTTGATGCGAGTTCCTAATTTCCCCCTTTTCCTATGGAAAAGGGATGAGCGCTTCTCTTCCCAGTTATTTTGTAAACACACTGTAGTTCAAGGGAACAGTTTTCTTGGGAATGCTGCAGCATTGATTGCTTACCCTGATGACATAATGGGGCAATAAAGCCTTAACCACCACCGAGGTCATGGGAGAGCAATTCCAGTTAAACTGTAACCTGGGATGGGTCAGCAGCCACAGTCCCTGGCGTTTCTAAAGCCAGAGCTTCAGGAAAAAGCAAATAGCTGCAATCACCCCAGCTGGAATTGGGAGCAGTTCCTGGTGCCTGGGATTCTAGCCAAGAGGGAGCTGCTGTGCCAGGTAGGGAAACCCCTGGGCAGCTGGAAAAACAGGCCCTGGGGCTTGAGATTCTTGCCATGGAATCCCAGAATGGTTTGGGTTGGAAGGGACCTTAAAGCCCAACCCATTCCATCCCTGGGCAGGGACACCTCCCACCATCCCAGGATGCTCCAAGCCATGTCCAGCCTGGCCTTGGACACTTCCAGGGATCCAGGGGCAGCCCCAGCTGCTCTGGGGAATCTTTACAGGGAGCAGCAGTGTGCCGAGGTTTGTGGGTGGAAAGAGCAAAGAGAGAGGGTGGCTGTGTCTCCTCATTCCTTTCCGGTGTTTTTCTTGGTTTTCTAAATTAAACTACCAAATTTTGGGGGTCACCACTTGCTCTTGTTGTGGCCTATGGCTTTGTCAGCCTACAGAGACAAGGCTTTTGTGTCTTTCACTTTTAATTCTGTTTTCTGAATTGGTGGTACTTATCCTTGCAAATGTGACTTTTATAGCGCTGAGACTGGGGCAGGACCCAAGCTCCAAGATTCAAAAGCTTGGGGGGAAAATACAAATCCCAGCAGTCTCTCCACTCTCCTCTGTGCTACCTGGGGTGTTTCCCTGATCTTTCCCTGCTTGGGAGGATGCAAGGGATGGGTATCAGTTTAATCTGCTCTGAAGCAGTTGGTGCATCTGTGGAAAAAGGAACAGGACTCCAGATCTGTAGCAGGGCCACGTGACACGACAGAGGTTTTGTTGGCCTATTTTCTCAAAGCCCAGGTTTTACTCTTGAGCTGTCAGGTCAGATGAGGATTCAGTTCTGCGGCCAAAATAGAAATTAGCCATGTGTGGTAATCCATTAATCCCTGGAAATAATGCCATTTATTGGCATTTTGGGGAGCTGGGCTGTCCTCGTGCCACCTCCTTGGGCTGCATGAGGAGCTGTCCAGAGGTGTCACAGGCTGCCCTGATCCCTGTGGAATTGTGTTTACATTCCAGGTGCTTTGATTCCTTGGGCAGGGAAGCTGTGGCTGCCCCTGGATCCCTGGAAGTGTCCAAGGCTGGGTTGGATGGGGCTTGGAGCAGCCTGGGGTGGTGGAAGGTGTCCCAGAGTAGAAATAAAGTACAGAAAAAAATCAGTCCATGGAGTTAAACCTGAAGTGCCTGAACCATTCAGAAGAGAATAATGGAATCCCTGAGGCTGGAAAAAACTTCCAAGATCATCCAGTCCAAGCTGTGCCTGATCCCCACCTTGTCCCAGAGCACTGAGTGCCACATCCTGGAATTCTTTGGACACCTCCAGGGACGGGGACTCCAAACCTCCCTGGGCCTGAGCTCCCTTTCCATGGGGAAATTCCTGCTGCTGTCCAAGCTGAGCCTCCCCTGGCACAGTTTGAGGCCAATCCTGTTGTCCCATTGCTATTTCCCTGGAAGCAGAGGCTGATCCGTGTGTATCCAGGGAATAAAGGCTGGAAGCAGTAGGATATGAGTTGATAAATTCTCTGTATCCCTATGCAGTTTCAAAGACAATTCCTATTTTATTTTCCAGGAGGGGCAGCAGTTGCCCTACAGCAGAGCTGTAGTAACAGTTTGTCTCTCCCTGGATCTTTTCTGCTTTTATCAACAAGAGACTTCTTTTGTAGCATGTGGTTGTCCTTCCTGGTCCAGCCCTGCTTTTCTCCCTGCCTGTTCTCCCAGGAGAATTGTTACTATTCCTTTCCTCCTTGTTTTACCAGGCTGTATCATGACATCTGCCTTTGTGAGTAAGGAAAATGTGGGGAATGCTGCTGTGCCTGCAGCAGTGGGTTCAGAAAATGGTATCTTTGCAGTTTGTATGTGAAAGCCATAAATACAGAGTAAAATTCAGGGTGTTTTTGTGGGGTTGTGGCTTGGGCACCTCCCCATCCACCCCAGTGGGAAGAGAAAGGATGAGGGCAAATGGCCTCAAGTTGTGCTGGGGAGTTTAGATTGGAAATCAGGGAAAAATTTTTCATGGGAAGGGTTGTCCAGCCCTGGCAGAGCTGCCTGGGGCAGTGCTGGAGTCCCCATAACCAGACGGATTTAAAATCCACGTGGATGTGGCACTTGGGGACATGGACAGTGCTGGGCAGTGGTTGGGTTTGATGATCTCAAAGGTCTTTTTCAGCCTTAATTCCATGATTTTCTTCTTGGTCCTGCTGAGCCCAGTCCTTTGCATCCACCTCTGCTGCAGCTCCTGGATTTCCTTGGAGTTTTCCTCCTCTCTTTAGGAGCTGGAAATGCAAAGGGCTTTGGCCAAGACCAAAACCTCAGGATTTGCATAATCTTTATCGCTGTGTTTATTTCTGATAAACTGTGGGACACCACGGCGTGTTCCAGCCACACTTCATCACATCCCAGAGAACGGATTTGGGGGGTCTGGCAGGGAATTGGCATCTGGAAAACCCTTCTGACAGGGATTTGGAGAGGAGCACTGATGTTCCTTTCACTTTCTGCTCTCCTGGAAACCTTCCAGCAACTTCAGTTATTCTGTGGGGTTTTGTTTTTTTTCCAAGGAGCTGGATGTGTTTTAAGGATGGGAAAGTCTACTCAGTGCTGCCTTGGAAAAGCAGCCACTGCTGAGGATTGATCACCCAAAATTCCAGTGGATTTCATTTGCTGAGGGTGGAAAGCATCCCAGCATTCAGCACCTCTTCCCTGTTAATTCCACTTTTATTCTGGCTTTATTCCACGTTTCCAAATCCTCCTTCCCTTCTGTTCCATTAACTTCTGCTGTGTGTCCCAAGCTTTATCATTATAAATATAATATCATTATAAATTGTTAATTTGGGACTTTTATGTAATCCTAAAAATGATGCAGGCACAGTTTGCAGTGAGGCTTTAAACACAATTAATTGTCTAATCCCAGGAATGGGATTGAGAAAGAACGGGATTGTGAAACCCCAAGAAAGGGATTAAATTATAAAACATTTAGTCATTTTAAATTAAAAATAGTAGTAGAAGGAATTGAAGGAGTAAATTAGTAGGGAGTTGGACTGGGGGAAAAAAATTAGGAAAATAAAGCTTGATGCTAATAATACAATGAGTGAAAAAATAATAAAATGTATTACAGAGAAAAACCATTGAGCTTCCCAACTGTGTATCCAAGGAATGCCAGCTGTGTGCTGGGTTTGGATTTACTCCTGGGTGTAGGACCAGGCTTTGGAGAGGCTGGGAATGACTGGGAGCATTTCCCTTCTGAGTAACAGCGGTGAGAGCGGCGGAAAGGCGGTGTGAAAGTTATTGTCATGGGCGATTTTTCTATATTTGAGCTTATCCAGGGATTATTTCAGGTGGATTATCCCACTTTACGTGGAAAGACAGGATTTTCTAATGGTTATTCTAATGACTGCCAAATTCTTGGGTTTTTTAGTGTGTTGTTCAGCAGGACTGTGTAACACCCTGTGGAAACTGTGCTGTTAAATTCAGTGTATTACCCTGAAAGGGGAGCTCTGCTGAGCAACATTTCCAGGGACAGAATTTTAGCAGTGGCTGCAGAGCCACCATCTGGATAAATCCTGCCATTTGTGGAAGGCACAAAGTAAAGGTGGTGTGAAAATATTTCTAAATCAAGCAGGACTGGCTAATGGCTGAGCTGGGAGCCTCTCCTAATTAATCTGTTCGTTAGGGATTGCAAAAATCCACAATAAATTAGTAACATTTGTTTCACCTTGATTTAGAGGGATTGGAGTATTTCTGGACCTGTTTATTTCTCTCCACCTGTGAATTTCCCTGAATCAAGAGAAGGCACGTTCTCATCATGCTTTTTCTCCAGTTTTCTTCCCACTGGAAGTTATTTTCTGGTCTCACCAACCCTGAAATTTTGCGTTTAGAAAGCAGACTCAGCTGTGGCAAACATTCCCCCAAGGAATTCATCCATGGAGCACCTCATCTGTGGATAATGAGTCAAGTGGGATAAGGAAACTCTCAAAAGTCTGTGTTAAAGGGACTTGAAACTTTCTGGTGTTTCTGGGCTGATTGGTGGTAAAAAAATTTTCCTTTTTGTTATGAATTTTCCTCTTATCTCTGGGAATGAGGATCGTTTCCTCAGTGTCCTCAGATGGCAGTTTTTTATGGATGGAGCATTTTTTCCCTGATCTCTGCTGTTGTCTGTGATCCATGGCTGAGTGTTGCCATTCTGCTGTTGGATTTTAAACCTCCTTAATGAATTTTTGGAGTGCACAAGTTGTATTTTCTTTTCCTTTTTGCATCAAAACAGAAAGTTCAGCGCTAAGGCAATGGGATAAAACAGGGTTGATATAAATTTAAATTTCAAGCAAACATTGCTTTTACATTTAGCTCCCTTCTGCTAAAAAAAAAAAAAAAAAATCCATGATACTGATTTGACCTGAAAATTTATCTTCTGCTTTGCTTTCTTGCAGGTCCAGGATGGAACATTCCTGCTCGCTCCTGCTGCTCTGTGTTAGTTTCATTTTTGCACAAGCTCTGCCACCCAACGGAACTGAGCTGCCCAAAATAACCACGAGCACCAGTAAGGCCGTGATCCCCGGGGGTGGGATGGGCTTCAGGGAGTTTTACCAGGATGTTTTTGCAGGACTTTGCCCCCACTGACACACTTCTGATGGGTTTGGTCAGCACAGGTGTGGTGCTGGGGTTTCGCTTTCTCTTTCCCATGGGAGGGAAGAACAGCGGAGGAGCCGCGAGCTCTGCGCGGCCCCGGGGGTCTGAGGGGATGTGAGCACGGAAAATGGGAGGCAAATTTCCATTGGACAAGAGGATGAATAGATTTAAACACTTTGAGGAACCTTCACATGAGTTCTGTGTAGAGGAGGGTGTGAAGTGCAGGTGTCCTGGGGAAGGTCCTGCCAGGTGAAAAACAGGAGAGTGGTTGTTCCCAGAGCTGAGAGCCATCTCCTCCTGTCGCTCCGTTAGGAACGCTGAGAAGAACAACACAGACTCTCTAGGGAGTTGATCAGGAGAATTTCTCTCAGTTTATTGCTTCAGATCTTTTTTATAGACCGATACGTGAAAAGTACAGAAAAGAAACACTTATTGGTTAGTAAACTAACACATCACCATCATTGGTCAGTGGGGCTCACCACCCCTCGACTTTCTCTTGCAAGAAAACAAGGAACAGACAAACAGCACCTGCAAGGCTGTTTTCTGTCTCTGAGGATTGTTTTAATTCCTCCCCATGATTTCCCAGGCCACTTTCTCAGGCAAGACTGAGAAAGCTATGCGGCCTGCAATTTCCACAGGCACCTTGCTCCCTGCTTCAGAGTCAGCATCCATCTCCTCTTCTCTGGGCCACCACAGCACCTTATATTCATCCTCATTTCTCATTGCAGAATTTCTTCCTCCTCACACCCTCTCACAGCCACATCCTAACGCGTGCCAGTCCTGGAGAGGGGCTCCTTCAAGGGAAATCAGGGGGTTTGAGGAAGGGTCCAAGGTTGGACAGGGCTTGGAGCACCCTGGGATAGTGCAAGGGGTGGAGTGGGATCATCTTGGAGGCCCCATCCAGCCCAAACCGGGGAGATGAAGCTGCTGATGTCCCATCCAAGCACTGTGGGCACGTTTTGGTGACCCTTCAGGTCACTGGTGTTGACACCCAGTGTTTCACAGAAGGCTCAATTGTTGCTTTATTTGTTTTTCATCTGCCTGTGAACTTTACACCTCTGGGGGAGGAGAGGAATCAAGTGCCAGGCTTGGCTCGTGGCCCCTTGAATTGTTTTGGTTCTTGCTTGTAGTAATTTAAATGGAAATAGGGGAGATTCAGATGGGATATTGGGAATAAAATGAGGCTGGGCATGCCCTGGCACAGAGCAGCTGTGGCAAGTAGTTTCTGGCCCCTGCTTCTTGTCTGGCAGCTGGAGCTGTAGAAAAACAAGTTACTAATATTGGGCTGAATATGTCAGAATATAGGAATTGAGAAGGGGAAGTCACTTGTTGTTTTTATCACTTCCCAGAATCTTAATAACGTGAGCACAAAGGGAGTTTTGCCATCAGTGTTGTTCATCTTCAAAGCTTAATTCCAAATTGTGTTGAATTTAAGTCTGATAATATGGATAAGAGTAATCTGATCATCCCTATTTTAATTAAATCTTAATTTCAGCGATATGATTCAGAAATGATTGGTGTGACTAAACTGCCTTTACTAAATATCAAAGCCTTCCTGACTTTGCAGTGAGGAAGAGTTTTGTCTGGCAGACAAGTAGGTGCACCCTGAAAATACATTGCTGCTTGAAGAGTGCCAAGATAATTGGATTATCTAATAAATTTGATAGCCATTGAACTAATATGGCATTTTTTAAATACAAAAATAACAGTTTTTGATTGAAGCATAAAGAAAACTCCATTTCACAGACTATGGAAAGAACTAAAAGATCCTAAAAAAATTCAGCTTCTCTTTTGCATGCTAATTTGATGAGTGATCCCAGAAGATACTTTTGATTCTGAAAGGAATAGGTATAAATGATTCCATGGCATTATTTGAGCTGCCTTGGTTTTTTCAAAGATTTGCTGAATTACAATGGCAGCTTTATTCTTATTTAAAACATGGTTACCTTGCCTGGATGGGTCGATTTTTAGCACTGCTGCTGTTTTACTTTTTACAAGAGCACTCTGAAATTGCTGCCATGAAATTGCTACCTTGAAATTTCCACCTTGAAATTTCCCTTTCAGAGAATGAGACCATTCTGGGGTTTATTACACTGCCATTTACTGGAAATTTACCCTGATATTTACTCCAGGTATTTAACTGCATTAAATAAATATAAACCATCAAACCACAGAATGGTTTGGGTTGGAAGAGACCATCTGGTTCTGAATTCCAAGCTAATATTTATTAGGATTTGCATAAATAATTGTGTATTTCCAGTAGAGGCACCTCAATGCACTCAGATCCTTGTTACAGACTGGTGATACTGTCCATGACAATCCCATAACTCCTGGTAATTCAAATATTTGTCAGTTCCCCAGGATTAATCATAGTCTGGATTGTTTTACTTCCTCTTGCATTTTTACTCTTGGAATCATTGAAATGTGAAAGCAGCCTGGGAGTTGTAGCTGTAAACCTTTAAATACCTTTCCAAATGTTTACATTCTGCTGGTATTTACTCCATGAGGGTTCATGGTGCCTTTGAATCCTCACAATTCCTTTCCACGGCTGATGTCTGAACCTTCAGAGGGAACCAGTTTATCAGAGGAGCTGCAGGTTAAAAGGCAGGAAATGGGGCAGCTTTGGGAGTCCTGTTTAGTGCCGGTTTCAGCTTCCAACAATTCAGTGGGGATGTGAAAATAAGATTATCTCCCTCTCTGCTGCATTCTGGAGACACCCCAGAGAGACCCCAGCAGTGCGCAGCTCTGGGGTCCCCAGCATGGGGAGGACCTGGAGCTGTTGGAATGAATCCAGAGGCACCAAAATGTCCAGTGGGATGGAGGAAAGGCTGGGAGAGCTGGGATTGTCCAGGATGGGAAAGAGAAGCTTTGAGGTGACCTCAGTGTGGCCTTGCAGAGCCTAAAGGGGCTCCAGGAGGGCTGGAGAGAGACTGGGGACAAGGGATGGAGGAACAGGACACAGGGAATGGCTCCCAGTGCCAGAGGGCAGGGCTGGATGGGATTTTGGGCAGGAATTGTTCCTTGGCAGGGTGAGGAGGAGCTGGGATGGAATTCCCAGAGCAGCTGGGGCTGCCCCTGGATCCCTGGCAGTGCCCAAGGCCAGGCTGGACATTGGGGCTGGAGCAGCTGGGACAGGGGAAGGTGTCCCTGCCATGGCTGGGGTGGCTCTGGATGGGATTTGAGGTCCCTCCCACCCCAAACCAGTCTGTGAGTCTGTAATAGTCAGGGGGGACTTTCCTGCAAGGCTTGTGGTGGCTCACGGAGAAAATGAGGTGGCATCAGAAAACTGACTTAGGAGGAAGGATTCTGGCTCATTTTATTTGGTATTTAAATGCCAGAGGGATGCTCTGGTGGCAGACACTCAATCTCAAGAATTAGTTTGCAAAGCAGAGCTTCAGAAATGGCTGGTTTGGGGTCAGGGGTTGGGCTGGGTGACATTTAAAGGTCCCTCCATCCCCGACTCAGATTCTGATGGCAGTGCTGGGTGGGCCATGCTGGCTCTGTCCAAGTGGGATTCAGCTCTGAGATGTTAAACTTACTTACTGCTGTTTGCCTCCTGTCACCTGCTGGGCGCTGGTTTCCCTCCTCTAGCTCTTTTTTTTTTCCTTTACCCTTCCTTATTTTCATACTTTTTCTCTGATTGGGGTTTGTACTTCACATGTACCAAACAAATCTCCTGGTTATCAGCTGCCCATCATCTGCTTCCCTCCTGCAGCCATGGCAGGGTTGGGGTTTTCTCTTCCAAAAATAGCCTTGAGTGGGTTTAGTGTGGGTTTTGTCATATTTCCTGTTGGATGTTTGTTTGTGATATCTCTGGGTTTTGAAAAGATTGGACCTGTGCAGGAAGAGTTGGTTCTTGTGGGATTTCTCCTGTGCTCAGATAAAGATTTTCTTTTGTGTCACTCAGAATAATTATAGTTTTAGGGCAAAATTTGCCCTGCCAGCTTGCTTTTTTGGAGGAGGGGGAAAAGGGTTTTAATCACACGTTTTTAATCATCCAATTTACCCAAAAATGTAAAGGAGCTGATCCAAGGATGGAGAAAATCAAAGCTGGGGAGGGAGTGAGGAGGGAGCATCACTGATGTGCACACACCGCTGTTAATTCCCTGTTTCCTGGGGGTGGCTTTGTGTTTGGCACACGTGGAAAATGGGAGCATCCCAACCCTGGAGGAAATGGTGCTGCACTTCCAGGGAGAGCAGCACCAGGAATTGAGGCAGAGAGAGCCCTGAGTCAGCCTTGGTGGGTGCACAAGGAATCACAAGGGACCATCAGCATCCTCCTGGTGATAATCCCCTGCTTCTTCATTGGATTGCTAAAAAAATACCCTTGGGGTGATCTTTGGCTGGCTGTGAACAGATATTCCAGTGGTTTTGGGCCACAACTCCTGGAGTGGGAACAGATATTTGTAATATCCTGCTTTGGAGGATTTGTCTCTCCTGTATCCATTTACTCCAGTGTTTGTCATTAATTTTTGAAGCAGTAGTGATTAAAAAGTTGTTTCAGGCCTTTTTTCCCTTTGAAATCCCCCCTGGTTTGGAGACAATTGTGTTGGCCAGAGATGTTTCAGCCTCTGAGCCTGCAATGGCCTCAGTTTTAACTTCCTCGTGCAATTTTTGGGCTACATTTATAAATTTACTGATATTAAAGAAAACAGAGGTAAACATTGAGACCATGCTGTGCCTTACTCACAGGCTCTGCAGGGATGATTGGGAAGCAGCTGCAAGGATTTGGGAACAGATCTAAAGAAAAGGGGACTTTTATGGATTTTGACCCAATTTCCTTGTGAAAATGGTAAGAGGAGAGGTGAGATCTTGGGGCAGAGAATTAAATCAGGCAGGGGTGCTCTGTCCTTGACTAAAGAAATGGGGGCAGTTTTGTTTGGCAGAAGGTTCAGCTTCTCATTTCCCAAGGCTTGGATGGAGCTTTCAGTGTTTGTCTGGGAATCAGTTCTCCAAAGACACCCCAAAAATGGTGCAGCATTTCTGTGAAAGGAAGAGAGGGTGATTTTTTTTTTATTTTTTTTTTGTGTAATTGTCTGAGGGAAATTTTAATTCCCTCGTGATGCAAACTTGTTTTTTCCCCCCTCTCACGTCACGGGTCTTGTCACAGAGCTAAAGAGAACCAGCACAAACCCTGAAATCCTGGAGCATTCTGAGAATCCTGAGGGTTTCCAAACTCCATGGAAGTGGCTGCATTTTGTCTGTGAGGGACAAAAATAGGGATTTTTTGTGTTTGTTTCCTTGCCAGCCCTTGGCTTCCAGACAGAGTTGCAAAACACCCCACAGAAAGCGTTGGGTGGTTACTCATCCTCATCCAGACACTCCTTCCAAGAGTGATTTCCTGAAACCCTGCCAAGTCATGGCTTCTGGCTGCAGTTTTGTCATGCCTGTCACTTTTATCTTTATTCACCACTTAAATGTCATCCCTCAGGCGTTTTATTGCCTCCCCTCTCTTTGGATGATGTTGACTTGTGAGCCCTTTTTTCCCCAAGTGTCCTGAGCTCACCTGTGCCTCCGAAGGATTTTTTTCCCATGCCCTGGTGGAGCACCCAGAGAGTTTCCAGACTCAAATGGGTTTGTAGCCATCGCTTCAGGGTTTTTGGTTGAGCCACATGAATCCTTCCTGAATTATTGCAGGTGTTACCTACTCTTAAATATTTCATTGAATCCCAGAATTGTTTGGGATGGCAGGGACCTTAAAAATCATCCCCTTCCACCTCTGCCATGGCAGGGACACCTTCCCCTGTCCCAGCTGCTCCAAACCCTGTCCAGCCTGGCCTTGGGCACTTCCAGGGATCCAGGAGCAGCTACAGCTGCTCTGGGAATTCCATCCCAGCCCTTCCCCACCCTCCCAGCCAGGAATTCCTTCCCAATATCCCATCCAACCCTTCTCAGCTCTCAAGGACCACTGTAGGAATGGTAAAAAAACCCATTAGAAGGGTGTGAATGTAGTTTAAAAGGGGAAAAAAATCCAAAATACCAGCAGCAACAGGAATTGCCTTAATTTTGGAAGAGTGGTTGTGGGGTTGTGTGTTGCTTGCTGAAGGTTCAGACAGGGAGTTTGGCTTCCTTAAGTGAAACATGTTGGGTTTTTAATGATTGTCATCTGTTCTTCATTGAATTATTCAGTAGAACTAAAAGGTTACAGAAGCATAATGAAAGTGAAAGGTAAAGAGACACATCCATAAAACACTGTGAGCAGAAGGGTGAGGCTCAGAGTTTGTACCAGATCTAACAAAGATGTTCTTTAATCTCCATTCTGAGGAAAATGTCATTATTCCTGCTTGCTCTCATTCACTGAAATTCTGTGTAAATATAAAATCTGTATGAAAGGTGGTGGTTTTGGGGTGGTTGATGTGCATGAGGGCACTGCAGCAAAACTTGTAATGGGCTTCAAATTCAGCTTGGTACCTTGTAGCTGTTCAGCCTTCTCTGATTCCAGGTAAATTTTAAAATATCATTTATTTTCTCAGCAGCAGTGGTTTGGTTGTGCTTTTGATGAGGGAGAAAATCATTTTAAAATAATTTAAAAAATTAACTTTCAATTTGGGCTTTGCCTGTGTCAGATAATTGTGATGTGAGTAGAGGCAGGTAATTGGACAGAGTTTTTGGTGCCTAAAGCAGAGGTTTTGTGCCAGGTGAGTCAATCCATGTCTGATATTCCGCATTTCTTGTTCCATCCCCAGACTCTACTGAGGAGAATACCTTGCACAAGGAGCTGCTGACCTCCCTGCTGATCCTGGTGCTGGTGGTGATCATTTTCGTGGTGCTGGTGGGGTATTTTTTCAGGTGGGTGTTGTTTGTGGGCTCAGCCCCATCCTTTGTGCCCTCCCACGGAAGCAGAAGGGAGGCAGAGCCTGGCGCCGACGGGGCCGTGCCTGCCCTGCTCTCCTGCCAGCATGAGCAGAAAGAGCTTCTCTAGAATTACTTGGTTTGTAAAAAAGGGCTGGGGGGAAATACCAGGAAATTCCTCTTGCTGGAATTGCCAGGTTAACGTGGTGCCTCTGTTCCAGGTTCAGGAGACACAGGAAAGCTGTGGTCACCTCTGGCGACAAAAAGATGCCAAATGGGATCTTGGAAGAACAAGGTAGGGAGAGATTTCCTTTCAAACTCTCATTTTTATTTGTGTGTTCTTTAATTCACAATTACTCAGTGTTTGCTTTTGTTACCAATACAAGCGACAGGGTTGTTATTAAAGAGAAAATAGTTTGAAAAAATACAATCACAAATGGCTTGAGTTGGAAGGGACCTTAAACTCACCCAGTTCCAGCTCTCATGCCATGTGCAGGGACATCTTCAGCACTTGGTCGTCCCATCCAAGCTGGCCTTGGGCTAGAGATCCATATTTAGAAATCCATACTCACACAGTTCATAGAAAACCTGAACTTGCTGGTTTGAAGTAGGTTTCACTTTAAGTTGTGCTGCAGCAAATGTTTCTGTTTAAAACTTCCCCGGGCTCTTTGGAGATGTTTTACCAGGATGTCAGCTGAGATCCAGGTTTGTGACACTGTGATCCTTGTATTTAGAGAAGGAATTGCAGTGTTTCTTCTTGAAATGGGGGGGAAAGTCCTCAACACTTTGTGAATACACTGGGTAGTTTTTGAACCTGAAGCAGGGGGTTGAGATGGGGCAGTTTGAAGCCAGAAGCACTGAAATAAAACACTCTGAGGAGTTCAAAATGTTTCCCACTGGTTTGAGTTGTGCTGGATTTGTTTCTGCCCTGGGCTGGCCATCTCTGTGGGGCCCAGCTCAAACCTAAAAGGGCTGGGAAAATTGTTTTAACCACAGCCCAGAATAAAAATGATAAAGTTCAAGATCAAATAATCAATCTGTGGTTTGTGTCAGTCCCACTTGGCCATGAGCAAGTTGAAGAGGGTGGCATGGGAAAGTCAAAACCCTAAAAATACCCCTCAGCTTCCTGCTGGGTTATTCCTGTGCACAGGGGCACACTTTCTTTCTGTTGGCTGCCAAGTTAAAGATAATTTTTTTAATGTTATTATCATCATTTCCCCTCAAAATGAAATAATCTCACAGCACCTCCTTGGTGATAGGTGCTAAAAGCTGTCCTTGCCCTGTCAGCAGAGAGAACATTCTCCTTTTCTGAATAAAACTTGGTCCCTTTTTGATCCAGTGTAAACAGAGAAATCATTAATTTCACCAGCAGTGGTTCTTTATGTTCTCAAAGCAACCACTTGGCCTATGCTTTGGTGGTTTAATTTCCTTTAAACCACCTTCATCACCTCAGAGTGTCACGGTAAAAGTTTGTTTTGGCATCTTTCAGCAGCAAGATTAATTTGTAGCTGGAAATCTGTGGCTCTGGCCATGCCTTTGACATGTCCTGCCCCTGTCCTGACAGAACAGCAACGAGTCATGCTGCTCAGCAGGTCTCCCTCGGGCCCCAAGAAGTATTTCCCTATCCCAGTGGAAAACCTGGAGGAGGAAATCCGGATACGCTCGGCAGATGAGGGGAAGCTCTTCAGGGAGGAGTTTAATGTAAGTTTTCACACATGGATGGCTGAAAACAGGGAGGAAACCAAAATATCTGCAGGTATTAATGATTCTCGTGTTTGGTGTGTGATTGGTGCTGTTCCTATGGGTTCTGTCATGTAGGGCACCCTTCATCTGCATAAAACCTGGAATTTTTTACTGGTTTATGATGCTAAATTGATATTCTATGAACTGTTTGTCTCTTGCTAGCATTTGAAGAAGGTCTTTAGTGTTTGCCAGAACCTGGAGGGGAGGGACATTGAATATAAACCTCTTCAGCACTGATTTTCATGATGGTGGTAGACGGGTTTTGGGGGATGTGGGTGCTTCACCTTCATGGGAAGTACTCGGAGGAGAGGACACACTGTGGCTTTAAGGGTGGGCTTGGGCTTCTTTTTTCCTGGTAATTTGATTTTTTTTGCTCTTGGTTACCATCCCTGCAGTCCCCTCTGTGCAGCTGCTGTGCCCCAGCAGAGTTTCTGTGAGGAACCTCAGCTTTCAGGGTGTTCCTGTTTAGCGGGGCAGGATTTTGAGCTCGAGTGTGCTTGTAGGGATGAGCTGTTCTGGAGCCTGTGCTCAGCTCCTGCAGGATTCCTGTGGGGAAACACAGCACCAGGAGCCTGCGTTTGGGGCCTTTTCCAGACTTTTTATGACTTCTTTTCACTTGCCTCCCCAGCAGAAGCCAAGCAGGAGCTTAAATGTCAGGCATGGATTTGTGAGAGCCAATGCACGTGTTGATTAGGCCGGCTGTTGAGTTACCTTCTTAATTGGGATCATATTTAGAGCTGCAGTTGGGTTGATAAATTTAAACCACATAATTTTGCCATATCAGACAGGAAGCCCTGTGGAAATCCCTATCAAAACTGACAAAATGAAAGTGAGAACCAGCTCAGTGAGGTGTGTGCTGGTGAATTCTGACTCTCCTGATGAGCTTGCTCTGAGGTTCAGAGTGAAACAAACCATCTGTTTTCATTTTTAAACTCCTCTTTGCTTTGGTAATTTTCTGCCCCATGCTGTGAGCGTGTGGGATTCTGTCCACACCCAAAACCTGGGGTCTGACCCCAGAAATGAGCAGTGATGGGGTTGGATGGGGTTGATGCTCAGTGGGTTTCTTTTCCTGTGGCTGGGTGAGCTTTCTGCTTCAGCCTGAGAGGGCTGGAAGTGTCCCAGGCCAGGTTGGGCACTGGGGTTTGGAGCAGCCTGGGACAGTGGAAGGTGTCCCTGCCATGGCAGGGTGGGGCTGGATGGGCTTTAAAAGATCCTTCCAAGCCAAACCATTCCATGGTTCTCTGGTGCTGTGCCTCAGCCCTGCCCTGGGGATGCTCCAGGGATCTCTGCCCGTTCCACACAGCCTGATCCCAGATGTCAGGGGCCAGGCATCGCTGGGAATGCAGACACACGAGCTCCAGTGGGCACCAGGAACAAATTTGGGCTGAGAACGGTGAGCCCTGGGAGCCAGCAGCACCCAGGCATGTGCACCAACCTGAGAAGTTCAGTCCAATAGGAATTGTTTTGGTAAAAATAAACCAGACACTAAAAGATGAAGACACCCAGCAGGCAGAAAAGAGTTTTGAGGACAGTTGCTGACTCTGGGAACAGTTCTTTTAGATTTATGTGCCTAATGGTGCTCTCCAGCACCTTTGATTTTGTCCTTAAAGCCTGAATGACCCTTAAGAGACCCCTTGGACACTCACCAGAAATAGCTGAGGCTCCTTCTTTTCTTTTGTTATGTGATTCCTTTGTGAACATTGGGTGCTAGAAGAGTGTGTTCTTTCTTCACAGGAAAGAAGGAAAAAAAAAATTAAGAAATTTCCTCTTTCCTGTGAAGTCCCTACCTCTGTTGATCATCCCTGGAAATTGGGAATTACTGCCTTGATTTTCAGATTAGTCACTGAAAAGCTTCCCCTAAGAGTTTTCTTTTGAAATTTAAATTCTGGCTTAATGAAGACATCCCTGTGGCTCATTCAGTGCCAAAAAAAAAAAGAGGAAATGTGGCAGTCCTGGGTGGGTTGGGCCTCTCAAAGCTTCAATGGGGTTTTTGGGGAGAGGTCAGAGTGTGGTGGCAGCAGATGAGCCAGCAGGACTGGTCAGCTCCTCGTGTTTCGGGTGCTGGGAGCAGCCTGGCTGAATCACATCCTTCCAGGGCTGGGAGCAGCAGCAGGGCATGGAGAGGTGCTTTGGCCAAAGAGAATTCCTTTCTGTGTGCTTTTCACATGGAAATCCAGAACTTCTCTGGCTGTTAATTGAAAATTGGGTGCCTGACTTGAACTTTGAAGAGATTGTGTTTAAAAAGTTAATTATTTCATAGAGTCACAGAATGGTTTGGGTTGGAAGGAGGTTAAAGATTATCCAGTTCCAGCCCCTTGCCAAGGGAAGGGACACCTTCCATTATTTCTTTTTACGAAATTTACAAAAACTTTTACAAAATTTACAAGAATTTCGGTTTTTGTGTTTCATAAACGTAATTTAATCAGCAAAATGGGCAGATAAAAGTCCATGAGCGTCATCTACATCAGGAATTAAGCAGTCTGCTGACAGCAGCTTTCTTCCTCAACCCTCTTTTCACCTCCCTTCTCTTCCATTCATGGCTTTAACTGCCAGAAAAGCCCCAACAAACCAAACCCAGGAGTGCACAGAGCTGTTTCCTGTGTGCTGGAGGATCAGTTCTGCCCATGCCCCCCTCTCCTCCCGTCTCACCCTGACAAACTTTGCTGTGCTCGGTGGAAATTCCAGCCTCGCTCAGCCCTGCCCTCCCTGACCACACTTCCCCTTGCCCTGTGTGCCTCAAACTGGGGGAAGGGGAGGTACAGGAGTGGGAGAAGGTGGTGGTGCCTTCCCAAACTGCTGGGATTTTGCCTCAGTGGGATCTCTGCTGGCACTGGGGGTTTTGGAGTTCACTTAAAGGAGCTTCACAAAGTCCACGTCAAGGAGCTTCTCAAAATCTGGCTCTGGTTTGGTCCATGTGCAGTGGCAGCATCTCAGCTGTGCAGAGGCTCCACCTTGGCACCTCTTTCCTTTCATCTTCACCCTCCTCTCTGTTTTTTCCCTTTGGTTTATTGCCCTCCACAACCATTTGGTATTTTTTAAGCCGGACTAAATTTATCTGCACTCAGCTCTCGCTGACAACTCGCCGAACTCGACTCGCATAAAAACCCCGCGCCTTGTTTTTCCTTCCTGCTTTTTCTGCCCAGGGCTGGGCCTTCACCTGCAGGGCCAGCCGCTCAGAGTTTAACAGTTTGCTAAATAACTGTGATCTCTGAGGGAAAAAAATTCCTTCTCTCTTTCCCCAACTGCTGAACTCGTTGTCTGGAGTGAAATCTGCCAGAATGAAGTTGTGTGTTGGAATTAAAGTTACTGGGGGGGAAAATGTTGGAATATATTTAGTTCTGTTGGATGCAATTTTTCCCTAAGCCATGTGCAGTCAAAATTATTTGTTTTCTAACACATTCACTCTGTATCTTTATTTTTTTTTCCCCAGTCATTAACATCTGGATATGTGCAGGGAACTTTTGAAATGGCAAATAAGGAAGAGAACAGGGAGAAGAACAGATATCCCAACATCCTGCCATGTAAGCCTTTCACTTTTGTTTTAAGCCAGGCAATTAATTTTGGCACTGAGCAGGCTGCTGGTAGTGTTCATGTGCTGAAAATTCTCAAATAGTAACAATTTCACTGGTCAGAAATGCTGTTCATGTGTTGTCTGTGGTTTGGGAACTCTGGGCTTTCCACACCTCCTGCTTCCAAGAAAATGCCATATTTCAGATTTAAGAACTTGCCAATGTCCTTGTTTTCTTTCAGATGATCATTCCAGAGTGATTTTGACCCAAATTGATGGAGTCCCACCTTCAGACTACATTAATGCTTCATATATAGATGTAAGTTGGGAGTTGCCTACAGCTGGCCAGACTTTGGGAATTAAAGAAGTAATTCTCTGCTAGCACATGTTGGCCTTTCACCTTTTAACTGCTGTGGCATTTATTTCCACAGGGTTATAAAGAAAAGAATAAATTTATAGCAGCACAAGGTAACTGGTTCTCATTTCTCTCTTCTCTCTAGCTTAGGGGTGAGCACTTTTCATCTTAGATGTGTTTGAAAGGTTATTTTTAGCTGCAGGTGGTGGTCAAGTGTGAGGCTGGATTTAGAGGTTACACTTGAAATGAACTTGAAATAAGTGTGAGGTGAGCAACTGCCTCTAGACCTGTAGATTCTGCTCAGAACAGAGGCTCATTTCCCCCTCCAGACCCTTCTTGCTTCAAAATCAGTGTCTCCTGATGATCCATTCCAAGGTTTTTGTGGTCACAGGGAACCCTGGACCTTGGTATGGGAAAGAGCTACAAAGTAGGAATTCAAAATGTTGTTCCTGCCATAGTTAAAAGATTAAATAGTATTTAAGAATTAATGTATTAAGAGAATTTTTCAGGGCCTAAAGGGGCTCCAGGAGAGCTGGAGAGGGATTGGGGACAAGGCATGGAGGGAGAGGACACAGGGAATGGCTTTAAAATGACAGTGGGTGGGTTTAGATGGGAAACTGGGCAGAAATTGTTGAACTTGGCAGGGTGGGCAGGCCCTGGGACAGGGGAAGGTGTCCCTGCCATGGCAGGAGGCTGGAAAATAAATAATCTTTCATTTCCAACTCAGATCATTCTGTGATTCTGTGACAAGAGAGGAGATTCCTTGTAAAAATGTAGATTTGGGTGTGTGATTGTATAAAAACTAGCATGAAGGGGGAGTTATTTCATACATAAATACACATATTTTCCAAACCTGTGCAGGTGTGGCAAACCCAGCTGTGGGTGGGTGCCCAGGGCAGGGATGTGGGGCTGCTCTGGGATCTGCTCCCTCCCCTCTCCTGAGCATTGCCCTGCTCTGTCTGCAGGACCCAAGCAGGAAACAGTCAATGACTTCTGGAGGATGATCTGGGAGCAGAAATCAGCCATTATTGTCATGTTAACCAACCTGAAAGAAAGAAAAGAGGTAAAGAGCTTTTTACTCTGCTCTGGGATGTCCCCTGTGCTCCAAAAGCAGCCCTGGCTGCTCAGGGTCTGATCAGGTGCATTTCTGACAACTTCCTGCCCTGGCCCCTGTCAGCACAGCTGAGTTTCTGCTCCAAAATGGAGCTTTCAAGTCTAAAATACCCATTTATATCAGGTGATCTCAAGGAGAAAATTCTGATGGTCAGGTGTGTCCTGCATAGCCCAGAGCCAAAGGAAAACTCCATGGTTTTATCCCTGTGTAAGGCTGCATTTGTGGATGGGATTGATTAGGAATGAAGATAAAAACTCATTTTCCTGAGTGTTATGTTGTAGAAATCACAATTTGTCAACTAATTAATGAGGAATTAAAGCTGCTTCTGTCATTTCTGTCCCCCACTCCTCTCTGAGGATGGGCATTCCTTGTTTTCCTCCTGGACTTGATTTTCCTGCACTTTTGCTGCTGCTTGATGAAGCTCAAACAGCAGCACCAGGCCATGAGGGCCAATTCCCAGTGTGAGCAGCCAGAACTGTTAAATCTGGATATTCCTGATGGCTCCAATTGAGAACTGCTTTGAATTTCAGCTAAAGCTTGAGAACAGAGCACAAACCTCACGGTCCCCACAGCTGGACACCCTGTAAGGAAGCTGCCAAACTAAAACAAAAGCTGTGGGGCTGAGTTGGTTAAAAAAACAATTCAAAGCTGTTCTCACCTTCCCTGCATCAGTGTGAGCAGCAGTAGCAGGGAGCTAAAGCTGTGCCAGATGAGGAGCTCTGCACGCTCCCAGCTGTGCTCTCCTTCCCTGGTTCCAGCTGTGAGCGCTGGGCAGCGAAAGCAAAGTCAAGGTGATGAAATTCCCCATGTTTGGATGTAAAATACCCTGTGTTTGGGTGTTTTTTGTGCAGGAAAAGTGTTTCCAGTACTGGCCTGACCAGGGCTGCTGGACCTACGGGAATATCCGTGTGTCTGTGGAGGATTGCATCGTGCTGGTGGATTACACCATCCGCAAGTTCTGCGTGCAGTCGGTGAGGACAGAGCTGCTCCGGGGGGTTTTCATTTCAGTCCTCGGGGAAAGCTGAGGAAAATCTCCAAGATTTGCTTGGAAGAAATTGAGGCAGTTATTTTTTGAGGGGAGAAATGTGTGGTGCCTCTCCTGAGAGGAGAAGCAGGGTCTGCCCAGGAATATTTGATGCAGTCCATGGGTTGAGAGAGGTTCTGGATTTCTGTGCCCAGTGATGCCTTGGGACTGCCCAGCACAGGAGCAGGGAGTTGATCTTTTGGGGAAAAACATAAATAAAAAAATATTTATAATGATAAATTGTATTATAAAAATATGATTAAAAAAAATAGTGAATTTGGATCGATTTGGAGGAGCCCATCTCACTCTTTGCAATCCTATCCTGGGGTTATTCCACTGAAAATTAATAATAAATGATATTTTTACTAAGTGTTTGTATTTTACACATGCTGTAAACTCCAAATCCTTGAGTCAGGCTTGGAGTGTGGCAGGAAATAAAACCATAATTAACCATGGCAGTTTGTTCGTTAATCTTTGCATGAAAAATGAGATGTCAAACTCAGAGTCTGGGTGTTCCTGCAGCTCCACGAGGGATGCAAAGCTCCAAGGCTCGTCACACAGCTCCACTTCACCAGCTGGCCAGATTTTGGGGTGCCTTTCACACCTATTGGCATGCTGAAATTCCTGAAAAAAGTCAAAGCCTTGAATCCTGCCCATGCTGGACCAATTGTGGTTCACTGTAGGTATGTATGTGCTCCTCAGACCATTATTGTGGCTGGGCCTGGAGTTATTTTGATATACTTAGATTTTTTTTTAATGTATTTTTCTATCTTTTTGAAGATTTTATGTATATTTTATATGTATTTTATACATGTATTTATGTATGTATGTATTTTTATATTTATAGATAGATTTACCCACATATTTCTATTCAAGGGTAACGATCTGCTGAGTTTTTGAGAGCCCAGAGAAAACAATTTCCAAAGCTCTGTCTTTGCTGTCAGTTTAGTGCTCAAACAGAAGTTGTTGTTCTGCTGTTTGGGGTGTTTTTGTGAGGGATCTCCATTCTTTGGTATAAATCTGTTCTTTGTCAGAAAAACAGGCTGGTGATAGAAATCTGTGGCCTTTGTCACCCAGTGCTGCTCTGGGAATTCATCCCCCACTTCTCCCACAGTCACATTACAGTTTTCTATGGAAATCAGCCCTGAAATGCCTGAAAAAGTTTGGAAGAAAGACTTGAATTCAAGGGATTTAAATGCTGCAATTTTAAAAATGTGCTTCATCCCAATCCAGAACCAATTCCCACTCGTTGGTCACTCTCACAGGCACATCTGTCAGAGGCTGCTGCTAAACTTGAAATCTTTAATGAAACTAAACCCAAACTCCCAAACACTTTGAAGAGAATAATTTCAACCTCTCCAGCAACTCTAAGCTCACCACTGAGCAACAAGTGGCTTTTCAGGGAACAGTTATCATTGCAAGGTTGGAATAAAAAGAACACAAGAACAGAATGGAAAGGAAAGAAGAGCAGCTTTGTCTATCTGGGTCTTGTTTTTAAGGGAAAAAAGCTGTAAATTCCTGTATTTAGCTTTTTTCCCTTGCTAGAAATACTCCCTGGAAATGTGTGCTAGTGAAAAAGAGGGTGTTTGTCCTGCTGGGATTCACCTTCTCTCCCAGGCGTCATGAATAAAAGGCTTGAAAAAACCATTTAGATAGGAAAAGTAGATTTGAATTGTCTCAGTGGAGAATATTTTTATAGCCCTTTGCTGTGTGTGGAGCCTCATTTTGGGCTTGGGCTTTATTTGGGAGCAGCAGGAAATGCTGTGCTTGCCTTAAGCAGCAGAAGGAAAAACACAAGCAAGGAAAATAGAAAATAATTTCCTAAATACCTGCAGAGATTTCAGTCTAAAGGGGCAGCAGAGCACGGGGAGGCCATGGTGTGTCAGGGTCAGAAACACGGGAGAGGTGACACCGAATTTCCGTCCCAGTTCAGGATGTGACACCACGGAATTGTTGGCAAAAGGAAAGGGAAGCCCATCAGCAGTGAGTAACATCCATTTTTAGGGAGCCTGTAGAGAAATCTGGCCCAGCCACTCCGGCCAAAACCTGTCCAGTGAGGTTTAGGAAGAGAACAAAACACTGATTTAGCAGCAGAAGTCAAGGAGTGGAAATGAGGAGCGGCAGGATTTTCTGCCGATTCTTGTGTTCTGTAAGTTTTCAGGAATAGGGTGGTTTTTTAGAAAGAGAGTTTTTTTCAGTGGGTAGAGAGGGACTCTGAGGAAAAGCTGAGTAAGGGATGCCACAAAGCAAACTCTAAGGATGGAGACACTCGGGGAGCTCCCGAGGTGAATGTCCAGGGTGGGGATGTCAGCAGCTTCAGCAGGAACGTGCAGGGATGGAATCCCTGATCTGCTCAGGGAAGTGTGGGACAGAACAGGGGTGTGTAAAGAGGGGTTGGAAAGGGGAGTGAGGAAGCTGAGCTGGAATGAAACCTCCCAGGAATGAGCAGTGAGGGCCAAGTGAGAGCTGGGGAGGGCTCATCTCTGCTCAGACGTGGCTTCCAGGGCTGTCAGGAGGAGAAAAATCTCTTTTAAGTGGGAATGGAGACATTAGGACATGAGGGGGGAATTCCTTGTGGTGCCAGAGGGCTGACATGGATGGATGGGAGAGGGAAGGGAATCTCCATCGTCCCTCAGACCTCTGGAACAGTGCAGCTTGTGGGCTTTGGTTTCCCTGCTGGTAAGGTGTGTGAGGAAATGAAATAATTGTGCTACAAGTACAATCTCTCTTTTTTTTCTTTTTTATTCTGGTGTTGTTGAAAACCTAATGTTGCCTTGCTGAGAATTGCTTTGTATTTTTGAGCCTGTGAGGGGAGGGGAGACGTTTTTATCGTGTTCCTGGAGGGGTTTGTGGGCCAACAAAACTGCCCAGAGGGTAAGGGAGAGCTACTCATGACTAGTACAGGATGCCATGCCCTTTTCCTCTGGAAGGAAGAGCTGAAAGACGCTGGAATTTTGTCATTTCTAGTGGTCGTGCACCCTCTCGTGGCTTTTAAGGGTAGAAAAACCAGAAAGCGTTTAGGGATGGCAACATTGGGAAATGTGGAGCTAAAATTACTACAAGAATAATTAAAACTTTATCTTAACCTGAATTAGTAGAGATGGTCAAGAAGATATTTTTTTAAAGGTATTTTTAAATCTAATTCTGATGGCATCATCTGGGAAGAGCTGGGTTTTTGTGCTAAAAGCACTTTTTTTGCTGACCTTGTTAAAATGAAAAAGGGAGAGGTTTAGATGGGATATTAGAAAATGGTCTTTGCTGGAAGTGTGACCAGGCATTGGGACAGGCCACAGGGGTGGAACCTCATCCCTGGAGGGATTTTCAAAGCCCTGTGGATGTGGCACTTGGGGACACAGGGGGGACAGCTGGACTCAAGGATCTGAGACAGCTTTTCCAGCCTTCACCATTCCACGAGATTTAACATTTCCCAGCAACCACTTCAGTCCAGCCTGAGCACGAGGCTCACTGCTGCAGCAATTCCTGCAGATTTGGGTGATTCCATGGAGATTTTCGTGTGTCTGTTCTCTCCCCAGCGCTGGCGTGGGGCGCACGGGCACCTTCATCGTCATCGATGCCATCATCGACATGATGCACGCGGAGCAGAAGGTGGACGTGTTCGAGTTCGTCTCCAGGATCCGCAACCAGCGGCCACAGATGGTTCAGACAGATGTGAGTGCGCTGGAATCGCCCCAAATTCCAGCTTCTCCTGGGCAGAGAAGGGAATGCTGCTGTATTCCCACTCTGTTGGGCAGCCCAGTGTGTCCCGTCATCCCGTGGCTGATCCAGGGCTTGGAGCAGCCTGGGGTTAGAGGGAGGTTGCCCTGCCCATGGCAGGGGGTGGAACAGGATGAGTTTTAAGGTTCCTTCCAACCCAAATCGTTCTGAGATTCTCAAATTCAAAAATGCACAAAGCCCAGTGAAGGATGTGGGGTGTGGGAGAAGATAAAGGCAGAGAAGACTCCTGAAAAGCACTTCATTTTTAGGAGTCATTTCCAAATTTTCCCATTCACACAAGAGTGGAATGTCAGAGAATATGAGTGAAGTGTGAGCAGAACAGGAACACTCTGGTTTAGTGTAATAACTTCTAATTATTATTATTTTAATGATTAGATTAGATTGTCACCAAACAGTGACAAGACAAGTAGCAGCAGTTTTGAACTGCCAGAGGGCAGGGCTGGATGGGATTTTGGGCTGGAATTGTTCCTTGGGAGGGTGAGGAGGAGCTGGGATGGAATTCCCAGAGCAGCTGGGGCTGCCCCTGGATCCCTGGCAGTGCCCAAGGCCAGGCTGGACTCTGGGGCTGGAGCAGCTGGGACAGGGGAAGGGATTTAAGGTCCCTTCCAAGCCAAACCATCCTGTGATTTTTAATTAAGTCCCAGAATCCCTCATTTCCCTCCCTTCATCTTCCTCTCTGTCCCTTCCAGATGCAATATTCCTTCATTTACCAAGCCTTACTCGAGTACTACCTCTACGGTGACACGGAGCTGGATGTGTCATCCCTGGAAAAACACCTCCAGACTTCCCACAGTGCAGCACCAAACCTGGTCAAAATCGGGCTGGAAGAGGAATTTAAAGTAAGTATGGAAATCCTTCCCATACAATTTCCAAGATTTAAGCCAAAGTATAACCTTAGAGGTGCATAAAAGGGGAAATGTTGTTTTATTTGGTGGTTGTGAATGGGGCCTTGCTGAACATTCTGTTCCCTAAATTCAGATTCTAACCTAATTCCCTCATTCAGAGCTGTGTTCTGTGGCCTTTCTCTAAATGTTTTTTGTTTGTTTATAAAAGAAGAGTGGAGTGATTCTCTGGGTCTGGTGCAGGTTGCCAGATCAGATAATGCTGGAAGAGGAAAGTGGATTAGCTGCTCCTAATCTTCATCCCAGTGGGGATTGTTAACTCCGAGGTGACTGCCAGCAGGGAGAGCTGCAGGGAATTTACAGGGCTGGTGTTGAATGTCCAGACTGTCAGGAGAAAAACCTCAAAAACCCCACCCAAAAAACCCCATTTCTTATCAGTGGAGAAACCTCAGATGAAGAAAACCACCCTGGCTGTGTGTGATCATTGTTAAAATGACTTCAGCTCCCCGAGGGAAGAGTTAGAATTTTTTTATGATTTTCCTTATGGTAAAATATTTCTTTTCTATATAGGTTTAAAGTATTAATAGACATCTGGGTGCTAGCTGGAGTTCTCACTTTGCTCTAAAGGATTAATTTAACCAGAAATTCGGAACTGGGTAAAGAAAATGATGTAAAAATAAGTTTGATAGAGCAACAAGTTCAAAAATCAACCGTACTGAGGGAAGGAAGGTTAGATGGGATATTGGGAAGGAATTTTTGGATGTGAGGGTAGGGAGGCTCTGGCACATGGAGTCCAGAGAAGCTCTGGCTTCTGGAATTGTCCAAGGCCAGGTTGGAGCAGCCTGGGATGCTGGAAGGTTTCCCTGCCCATGGCAGGCATTGGAATGGGATGGGATTTAAAGTCTTTTCCAAGCCAAACCGTTCTGGGATTCTGTGATTGTTAATTTTGACAGGCAGGACAATGCAGTGGCAGTGATTTGTAGCCAGTGAAGCCACTGCAGGGCCTGGGAGGGTGGGATGAGCTGTGTGCCCCCACTCCCAGCCCCCTGTGCTCACCCTCCCGTGTGCTTTCTGCAGAAGCTGACCAACGTGCGCATCATGAAGGAGAACATGAGAACTGGCAACCTTCCAGCCAACATGAAGAAAGCAAGAGTCATCCAGATCATCCCCTGTAAGAGCCCAGCCTCTCACCTCCAGAGAAAGGGCCATAAATCCCTGCCTGGGAGCACACACTGGATCTGTGTGCTGGCAGAGCACAGCTCCCCTTACAAACTGTCATCTGTAAAAAATGCAGTGAATTGGGTTTTATTAAATAACCCTAAAATCTGTTACAGTCGGGGATTTTGAATTTCAGTAACTTGGTGATTTCACCTTTTAAACCAGCCCTTTTCTGTGTGGTTCCTTGCTCCATCTGAGCAGCACTGTAATGTCTGCACCTGGAAATGAGCAGCTCAGAGAAAAGATTTGGTGGGGTTTGTTCTTCCATGTGCAGTTGGCAGAAGTAAGACTGGACTTAAAATTAAGACTAAACTTTTAAACTTAAGACTGGACTCTTCTGGACTCAAAACTAAGCCCAGACTTTTCTTTTCCAGATGATTTTAACAGAGTGATTCTGTCCATGAAAAGAGGGCAGGAGTACACAGACTACATCAATGCTTCCTTCATAGATGTAAGTACACAACATTTTCGTGCATTTCCTTTTCAAAGCAGAGGTTTTGCTGCTGCTGAGAAGTCTTTTTAAAGAGGCACAATCAGCTTGGCTTGCAAAGAACATGAGCTTTGTTTATGGGAGTTTCCAAATGCATTTCTAATCTGGGGTTTTTTATTTCAGTTTAAATGGCTGTGCAGTTTAAACCTTGTTGTTAGATTTATAAACCAAACCTTTTATTAAATTCCAATCAAAGAAATCAGCTGCACAACCGACAGGCAGTGATTGCATTATCTGGGTCAGGTTAACAGGTGTAAATATTTGCTTTTCTGAGAAACAGAAAAGTCAGTGTTGAGCACAGGGAAAAGCTGTTGGTGTCTGGCAAAGCCAGGCTTTACTTGGGCAGAGCTGGATGAATTCCAAGCTTTCTTCCTGTTGGAAGCTGAGTAAGACAGGATTGTGTCTTGTTTTTGTTTAGATGTGACAATTTGTCCTTAAGCAGTAAAACCACGTTGGTGGCCGAGGGTTGTGGATTCCATAGGGATCACATCTGCATGGAAATAAGGAAAGGCTGGCCCTCAGTGCCTTGTGTTGGGTCACAGGTTGGACTCCATGACCTCAGAGGTCTTTTCTGACCTCATGGATTCTGTGAAATAAAATTGGATCCCAAAACTTGAGGTAGAAGTTAATCCTAGAGAAAAGCTGGGAGCTGCTGTTGTGATAGCCATGTGAAATCTGGTCCTGCAGAATCTCATCCTCTCAGGCATGACGGGGAAAATTCACCTGAGGATTGTGAATTTGGGGGAGATTTTAAAACCACAGAATCTCTGAGGGTAGAAAAGCTCTTTCAGACCATCGAGTCCAACCATCCCCCAGCACTGCCAAGGCCACCACTGCCCCATGTCCCCAAGTGCCACCTCCACATGGATTTTAAATCTCTCCTGGGACTGGAGCACTGCCTGGGGCACTGCCAGCACTTTCTGTGGGAGAATTTCCCCCTAATACCCAACTTTGACCTTCCCTGGTGGACCCTGAGGCGGTTCCCTGGGAGAGGAGCCCTGTTTTGAGCCGCGATGTCGCCGTGCCCAGCGGCCCTGGGTGATCGCGCTCTCTTCCCGCAGGGATATCGGCAGAAGGATTATTTCATTGCCACCCAGGGCCCCCTCCCGCACACGGTGGAGGATTTCTGGAGGATGGTGTGGGAGTGGAAGTGCCACACCATCGTCATGCTCACCGAGGTCCAGGAGAGGGAGCAGGTGCGTGCCCACCCCGCAGCCCCACCCTTCCCCTTCCCACCATCAATTCTGGGTTTGGGGTTTGTTTTTTGCCAAAAAAATTCCAGCAATCTGAGATTTTATTTTCTTGGCTTTTCCTAGAATGAGCACTTGCTTCACTCTTTGGTGTGGGGGCAGCGTTGCTGCTTTTTCTGGAATTGTCAGGAAGCACAAAACAAGTGCAGAATATTGTGATTTTTCAAAGCTTCCCGTTCTCTTCAAGGGATGCCTGACACAGGACAGAGTTTTGGGATCTGGGAACAAACTTTTGTGTAAACTTTTATCCTGTTTGTCCCAGTAAAAGCTCCTGTTGCTCATTCTGAGCCTGTCCTAATTTGATTTAAATACGAGAAATAATTAATTATTTAATTTAAATATGACAATTCATATCATTAATTAAAGACTCCTGTGCTGCAGCTTGAAAATTCTGGGTTCAACAAAGGTGTTGTGAAAAGCTTTTTTTGGTGGTTTTGGGAGGTTTTTAACAACATTGCCTTGCTTTCAGGAATTCCATTTATTATTCCACTTCGTTTTAAAGCAATATTTGCTGTCTGGGCCTCTTGAGCCCTTTTCATCATGATGGTTTCTATTCAAGAAATATCTTATCACTGTATTCTTAGTGTTTAAAACACACTTATTATGCTGGATGTCACTTCTTATACCAGAGATTCATGACAATGTTGAGGGGGCGGGAATAAATCAAGGAATGTTTGCAATTCTCTGGGTTCTGCAGGAAAAATGCTGCCAGTACTGGCCATCAGAGGGCTCCGTGACTCACGGAGAGATCACGGTGGAAATCAAGAGTGACAACCTGATGGATGCCATCAGTGTGAGGGACTTCCTGGTTACATTTAATCAGGTAATTCTTTAAAATTCCACCCTTTTTGTTGTTCTCTTTTTTTTCTTTTTTTTTTTTCCCATCAGAAGACATTTATAAATCTGGTTATGTATCTTAAATTCCGTGATTTCTGTCTAAACTTAAATGTGGTTAATTAAGAGGAAGCTGATATGGAATAATTTTGCTTAAAGTCCCTGAAAATTCGGATCAGTAAAATGGGTGGTTTTGGGGTTTTTTAAACTGTTTTGTTGTCACTGTTATTCTAGAAAGTTACAGATTTTTCTGCCATCTCCCACATAGGTAGCAAAGAAAATTTGATTCAAGACTTTTCACAGAATTCCAGAGTGGTTTGGGCTGGGAGTTTAGAACTCATCTCACTCCAACTCCTGCCATGGGCAGGGACACCTCCCACTACCTCAGGTTCTTCCAAGCCTTTTCTAACCTGGCCTTGGGCATTTCCAGTGTATCCTAAGACCTTTCCTAAGAGTAAACAGCTAAAGGAAAACTGTAGTGGGAAATTATCCATGGGTGGGGGATTTAGAAACAGACCTGCCAGGATGGAATCATGGAAGATTACTGGAAATAAGATCATCAAGGTCCTTAATATGTTACCAGGCTGCAAATACTCTCCTGTAGCAGCATAGAATTGCTGCTGCAGATGTTCCAGGCAGGAATTGTGTTTCCACCTGGAGGGAACAAGTGGCTGAGTGATGTTTTCCTGCTGGCAGAGCAACCAGGAGAAGCAGAGCAGGCTGGTCAGGCAGTTCCACTTCCACGGGTGGCCGGAGATCGGGATTCCTGCCGAAGGGAAAGGCATGATCGACCTCATTGCAGCAGTGCAGAAACAGCAGCAGCAGACAGGGAACCACCCCATCACTGTGCACTGCAGGTGAGCCCCCTCTGCACCTCAGCCTGCCCGTTCCATGCCCCTGGCGTTCCTCTTTTCCCATTTTTATCCCAAACAAACGTGTTTTCACTGCAGTGCTGGAGCGGGGAGAACGGGAACCTTCATAGCACTGAGCAACATCCTGGAGCGGGTGAAGGCCGAGGGGCTCCTGGACGTGTTCCAAGCCGTGAAGAGCCTGAGGCTGCAGAGGCCACACATGGTGCAAACGCTGGTATGGGATCTACCAGGGCTTTGGAAGGGAGTTCTGCCTCGAAATATTCTTGGGGGAGGAAAAGGAAGGGTTTTGTGCAGGTTGATATAAATGATGTGTGGTGGATTGTGTGTATACCATTATCAGGGTTTTACAGGGGTTTTTAGAGCATGTCTGAAAATACAATTTGGTTAAATATTCTCTGCCTTGCAGGAGCTTGAGGCAGTTAAATTAAACATATTTTGAGTGTTGCAGGTGAGAAAATATATGAAGTAAATGTCTTTCAAGCTATTTATCCGTTGTTCTTTCTTTCCTTCAAACGTCTGGGCATAAACTGGAATCAGGGAATGGTTTGGGTTGGAAGGAACCTTAAAGCTTATCCCATTCCCACCCCTGCCATGGGCAGGGACACCTTCCACTATCCCAGGCTGGGATGTGCCCCATCCAACCCGGCCTTGGACCCTGCCAGAGATGTGGAAATCCTTGGAAATGTCACTGACTTGTTTAAAATCTTTAAAGTTTTCCTTCAAGTCATCTACAATGACTATTTGAAGCTTAGTCCAGATGCTTTTCCCTACTGAGTAAACATAAAAGGTTTTTTGAGACTTTTCTTAACTTGCAAATATACAAGTATTGCTTCCATTCAGCAATCTGAAACCTCTTTAGAAACAATTGCCTCAAAGCCTTTTTCCAGGGAGATGTTTTCTCTGTCCTGTGGATAGAAAGAAAGGGGATGAAGGAATGGAATTGGATTATTCATGGTCAGGCTGAGACAGGGCTGGATGGGATTTTGGGCAGGAATTGTTCCCTGGCAGGGTGGGGAGGGGCTGGGATGGAATTCCCAGAGCAGCTGGGGCTGCCCCTGGATCCCTGGCAGTGCCCAAGGCCAGGCTGGACATTGGGGCTGATGCAGCTGGGACAGGGGAAGGTGTCCCTGCCATGGCTGGGGTGGGATGGGTGGGATTTGAGGTCCTTTCCAACCCAAACCATCCTGGGATGATTCCCTGATTATCCCTGGGCAGTGCTCAAGAGTTTCTGCTGTGAGCAGCTGGGTTTAAATCAAAAGCCAGGCCTAAGAACTGATTCAGTTTAAGAACCATCTCTGAAAAAGCTCAGGAAATCATTTGGAGCAAAGAGCAGCGATCAGCCTGACCAGTGTCTGCCCAAAGCAAGAGGAACCATTGTTTTTATCTAAAATAATAAACAGAAATCAGACCAGGCCTCAGCTACTGGTCCCAGTTAGGATGTGATGAATTTATCACTGGGATTTGCAGAATTCCAATTTTCTAACTGTAACCAAAAGCACATTTTGATCTCTTTTCCTTGTTTTCCAGGAACAGTATGAATTCTGCTACAGAGTGGTACAAGATTTCATCGACATCTTTTCAGATTATGCTAATTTCAAATGAGAATTCTGCCTTATTTTTTAATTTGTCTGTATAAATAGTTGTACATTATGTTAATTTATTCCATGTCACTTGGATTGTTGACTGAACTGTAAATACAACGTTGTGCTGGCTCTAAAAGTTGCATTTGCTGTATAAAGTTGTTTCTTAAATAGAAATATCTTCTAAAGCAAAATATAATGTTCCTATACTGTATAGCACTGTAAGATGGGATAGAAATCTTTATTCTAAATAACAAAAAATTAATTCTTGGGGTTTTTTTTTCCCCCTTTGAGTTTTGCCACTCATAAATATTTATCAACAATGTTCTCTCCCAGTTCTTGAATTTTTTGACAGGTGATTTACAGTTCATCCTAAAAAAAGTGAATTTTGGTGCATGTGTTTAAACATGTTTTGTTCACCAGGGAAGTATGTTCACCATGAAAATAGATATTTATTTTTCTAGACTGTTTTAAAGAGCCTCCAGGTTTTGTTGGATTTTGAGTCCTATTGTCCATAGGATAAAATCAGTAGAAATACAGATTTGAATTTTTGAATTAACAGAACTTTCAAAGCCCTGTTAATTTGGTTTTTCTTCACAAATTTTGTTTAAATTGACTTGGAAAGGCAATAATGTGATTTTTAGAATATTTTGCACATTTGAAAAGTATATTTTGCAGCACCTGAACTTGTCTACTTGAAGAGAAAGGCCAGAAATGGAGTTAAAAGTTTCTCTTCTCTATAATCACCTGCATAATTTCCCACTTCTTTAAAGTAAGAGATGAACTCTTACTCCTTGATTTGACTCAGCAGGATAATTAAGAGGTAAAAATTGGAAAACACATTTTATGAATGGTTTAATTTAAGAAACATTGAGTATTGTATTAAAAGTTCCTCCAGGTTCTTATCCTCCCAGAAATGTGATCAAAAAAGGATTTTCCATGAGTGGTTTAGGGTTGTGTACAGAGATATATTTTTACTGAAAGCACTACTGAGAATAGAGTTGGTGACAGAAAATATAAAAGTTTTTATTACAGCCCTGACCAGGAGCTGGAAAATCCCCACAATCACAGGGCACCTGAATGTTCAATAATTACCAAGTTGATCTTTCCCACTTTTCCAAAAGCGTCTCTGACTTAATGAGCACAAAGAGGGTGAATCTGTAATTAATTCCATAACGAATATGCAACAGTTCTGTTTTGTCCAGCCAGGCTTTGGCCACGCAACATCAAAGCCTTATTTCAAACAAGCTGCTTAAACTGAGCTTTTCCCTGCTGTTCTTGCACTATTTTACCCCATTCCAATAATCCCATTGCACCTTGAAGCAACACAAGGGGACAGGAAGGTGTCCCTAGGTCTCCTGCCATTCCATCCTAGCTGGAAAAGGTTTGGGGTAGGAATTCCTGAGCACCCAATTCCCACAGTGCCATTGGCTGTTCTTGTCTTCCCATCGCTGCACTCCTGTATTTATTTGTACAGTAATTATGCACCTCAAAAACGAGATTGTTTAAAGATTAAACCTGGCTCGTGAGTCTCTATGAGAAGAAACACTCAGGCCACAGGGTTGGGTAGTGAAAGTGGAGCTGAGGAAGGGCATGTTCCTGAAATTCCATCCAAATTGAAAGAGCCAGAATAAATCCAGGCTGGAAACTGATACAGGGGGAGCTCAGTCTGATTTATGGCACAGGGAGACTCCCAGAGGTTGGAGAATAATGCAAAGGAATTCCCATTTTCTGATCCTGATGTCAGGATTTTTCTGACCATTTAGCCCACGTTTGAATAATTTGTCAGTTTTTTGGGTCCCTGAGGTACAAATTTGGGCTGAGCTGTCCATGAAGTCCATCTCAGTGCAGGGAGACTCCCAGACCTTGGAAAATAAGGCAAAGGAATTCCTGTTTTCTGATTTCAGGAGCTTTCCAACCATAGATAGCCAACATTTGAATAATAATAATATTAATTTGTCTGTTTGGCAGATTAGTGAGTCCCTGTGGTAAAAATTGAGGCTGTCTCCTGAAATCAGCCTCAGTGCAGGAAGACTCCAAAAGGTTGGAAAATAAAGGAATTCCCATGTTAACAATCCTGATGTCAGGATCTTTCTGACCATTTAGCCAGCATTTGAGCAATAATAATAATTGGTGTGTTGGGCAGATTTTGGGGTCCCTGAGGTCAATCTGAGTGCAGCAGTGATGGGGTGTGGGGGTCTCCCCCAGGAGCTGCAGCACAATTCCAGCTTCCCATGAGGTTCACCAAGACCTCCTTCCAACCAGGAGTGGGATGGAGTTCAGCTGGAACACCAAGGCCTCGCTGGGTACTCGGATTTCAGTCGATAACCAGATTGAGATATCGAGGAGGAAAGAGAAATGCCTAAAATGTGACTCAGAATTCACAGTCCAGAAGGGCTTTTGTGGAGTGAGAAGAGCTCCCTTGGCAGTTGTTGGGTGTTGCTCAGTGGCTGGAGCTCTGGGGAGTGTCACAGTGGATTGGAATTTTCCTTTGACTCTCCATCCATTGCATGGAATTCCTTTAAAAAGCCAAATTGTTGGATTGGAAGTGTCCTTCTGATCTGTCTGTGCTTTTGGTCACTGTGTGACTTTGACTGTTCATGTGTTCAGAAGGTCCCAGCTCAGCATTTAAGCGTTCGCTTCCCAACATCCTCATCCCACAATCCATGGAATGCCGTGGATTCCCTGTTCCCAGAGCAATCCCTTAGAAGTGCTTGGCTGACTTGGGCCTTAATGAAGAATGCATACTGTAATTAGCAGTGTTTTTTAGGCTATTTTTATGTATTTTTTAAACTTTTAAAATGAGCCTGACCACACCGTGTTCAGTCTTTTGAAATGTTTGCGTTTCCCTCGTCCCATTTTTCGTGTAAAGTTACTGGAACTTTTCTGTATAACCAAAATGTATTTAATTTATCAAATCTTTATAATATATATATATGTATGTATTATACAGTTTCAGCTCTTATTATTTTTTTTTCCTTACGTTTCTAATTTGATCTTGCTGTGTTTTTAATGCCGGTGAATGTGGCTGAATTATTTGTATATGCAAATTGCAAGATCTAATACATTCTGATGCAAGAACAAAGCTTCCTTTTTATTCTCCACCTGCATTATTTTCCTTTAAATCTTTTAATTTCATTCCTGTGTTGTGTGTTCATTTGAATTAAGCATTCTAAAAGAGTTGAAATCCATTATCTAGATCAGTAATTTTTCAGTGCTTATCTGTAGCTGTTTGGGAGTAAAATTGATTTATTTTGAATATTGTGCATATAAAGGGTGTAGGAACTCATGGAAGCAGTTGGAATCTGGGTCATCCCAAACTGTCTGGATAAGTAAGATCTGATGAAATAAATATAGTAAAATTAAGTAAATATAGCAAAATAATCCTGTGGTAAACTGTGGTGTCGTACCAAGATAGAAATAGGTTCTAAACTTCCAGCTGTGTCATCAATCGTGAATTGAAAGTTCATTCTAATTAACAGCAATTTTTTAATTCATTTTGACAAGTTTTGCATTGGATATGTTGCTAAAGTTAACCAGGATGGCCCTGCTGTTGTAACAAGGTAGGGGAGGTTTGTGTAAAGCAGGAGTAACTGCTCAGGGGTTGCATCCTAATGTCAAATCAAATAGGATTTCTCGAAGCCTGATTTCTGTTTGGCCCCTTTTCTGTTTCCCTGCTCCACCTCACACCTCCCATTTGGGAGATGCTTCTGCAGGGGGGCTCATTTTAGGATTTATTTTTCCCCCACAGTTGTTGGGAAGAACTTTCCTGCACGTCCTTCCTGGGCGTTGTTCTAACGTTGGCAGGATGAGAGGAAATGGCCTCAAATTGTGCCTGGGGAGGTTTGGAAATTAAAATTTCTTCACGGAAAGAGTTTTAAAGCTTTGGAAAATTGCCTGGGGCAGTGGTTCCCATCCTTGGAAGTGTTCAAAAAATGTGTGGGTGTGGCATTGAGGACGTGGGTTAGTGGTGAACTGGTTGATGGCTGGATTTGATGATCTTTTCCAAATTTAACAAGTCCCTGATTCTCATTTGCCATTGCAGGTAAAAGCTGTTAATTTTTTTAATTATTCCAGAGGAGTTGATAAACTCTTTTGTGTGATTGGGTCATGTACTTTCATTCAGCTTGTGAGGCCACTGGGAGATGACTCTGTGTGTGAGGACAGTCAGGTGCCTTGGTGTGGTCTCAGAAAACAGAAGAATCTCAAATATTTATCAGTTCTTGGTTAATTAATTAATAATGATAATAGTAACTGTCGATCACACAGCAAATGTGGATATTTCTATACTCTACTGGTGGTAAAGTTGTTTTTTTCCTACTTTTAAAGCTACCATAAAGACCTTCTGGTTCCTTATCTGGTTCTGTTTTTAGAAACTGAGCTTTCATAAAAAATACACTTTGATTGCAAACTGTCCATGAAATATATTTATTTTAATGGGATATTTAAGCAGTATAAACTAAGGCAGATCAAAGAGGTGTTTGCTCTGCACAAATGTTAAGCTCTGTTTTTCCTAATGCAGAAATTGTTGCATTGAGAATTTTCCAGGCCACTGAACTTCCCGGCGAGTGTTCTTCATCTGAGGAATTAAAGGATTAGGATGTAATTTAGATCTTTGGGTGAGAGCTTCCTCCTAATGACTTTTATCCATTTTCTGTGCTGCTTTGCACAGAGGAGGGGAATTACTCAGTCATTAATCGAGCTGACACCTTGCCAAGGAAGTTCTTTGCACAAAGAATCCTTTTCTCCTTTCTCTTCTTTACATTGCATGAGAAACCACTCAGCGTTTTCCTGAATTTTCCCAAACTCCAACTATCCATAAAAAAATCCACAAAAGATCCGAGCTGGGACTTCTCACCAGCTGGGTGGACAAAAAACAAGGAAAACTCACCCAGGTGGGAAGAGCTTGAGAAGGAATTACTGAGCACGGTATTTTCTAGTTGAGGTTTTTACAGAAACTTTGTGCTTCCAAAACCTGAAGGGATCCTCTGGAAAAGATGGAGAAGGGATTATTTAGGAGAGCATGGAGAGACAGAGAACAGGGCTGGATGGGATTTTGGGCAGGAATTGTTCCTGGCAGGGTGAGGAGGAGCTGGGATGGAATTCCCAGAGCAGCTGGGGCTGCCCCTGGATCCCTGGCAGTGCCCAAGGCCAGGCTGGACACTGGGGCTGGAGCAGCTGGGACAGGGGAAGGTGGAACTGGATGAACTTTAAGGCCCCTTCCAACCCAAACCATTCCATGATTTTATGATGGCTCCAGCCTCCCAAGGAAGCAGCCCATGGAACAGCTCTCCTCCCTTGTGCAGCTCTGGAATTTCAGAGGTTGAGTTAATTTGCTGAATCCAGGGGAGTCGCGCCCCAGTCCCAATAAAATGAACAAATTTCTACCTCAGCTGTGCAAAAGGACTCGCTGGGAGATGCAAAATCCCTCTTACAGTCACCTTCGGGTTTACACGTGATCTGCTGATGGCAAGATTTTCAGAATTAAGGATTTGGGATTCTTGGGGGCCAGGAGTTGGATTCCATCATCCTTGGGGGTGGGCTTTGAAGGACAATTGGAAAGCTCCTTTTCCAGATTAATTTGGATTACTTGAAATACAGGTTTGACTTTAAAATATCAGTGTGTCCATCATATGAAAAGGTTTTTCCCTTAGTAGTTCATGTTCTTTCAACATTTAAGGTGAATTATTTCAAAGTATTTCTTAGCTGTGGATAGATAAAATTTGGAAACATCTCATTTGTTCCTAAATTTATGCAGATTCCTCCCACAAAAAAATCCTTTGTCAAAATCAGGTTCTGTGCAGGAGCAGAAGCACTCCAAAAATCCTGGGTGCAGTAATGTGTCAGTGTAATAAATGAGGATTTTAAGAGAGAAATTGGTTACAGAACTTTTGAATTTTCAGGGTTAATCGTATGATTTCTCATCTCTGGACTTGGCTTCACACAGTGTGAATAGCCTGAATATTTATTTACTTTATACCAAATAAAAACCCTAATTTAGGGAAAGCTTTAACCAGAATTTGTGCTTTTTAAAGTAAAAACCGCTGATAGTACGAATCTGTGAGAAACAAACTTCAGTCAGTGTTTCCAAAACACCCGTTCAGACACTTGAATAAATAATTCTGTATGAAGATCTTCATGTGGTAAATTAAAATGCTGATTTTTAAATTCTCTATCAAGGATTTTCAAGCACTGACTTTATTTTTCTCCTCATTTTTGGCAGTTTTACTTCATGGTGTAGTCAGGTGTATTTGTCTAAATTAAATGTGCCCAAATTAACCTACCAGCAAATTAAACCTTGAAGAAAATGTCTTTTTTTTTGTTTGTTTTTTGTCCCTCCTGTAAATCTACTTTGGCAAATATTTGTACAGATGCTGTTTCAGAGAGCACTGCTGCTCTTGGAGACAGATTGAAAATCTTTGTTATCATTTGCATTCTCTAAATATTGCACATCAGCTCTGACACCGCTGTAAATCATGCCAGAAAATACAATTATTGCCACACTGCAGGTGTATTTATTTATTTCTGCTGTTTGATCACATGTGGGCTGGCAGAGACTGCAATAAATTCAATTTCTAAGAGTTTTTCTGCTAGAAATTGTTTGTTTTAGATACATCATTCAGGACCCCCAGGAAGTAATTTTTTTCAATTTCTAAGAGTTTTTCTGCTAGAAATTGTTTGTTTTAGATACATCATTCAGGACCCCCGGGAAGTAATTTTTTTAATATTTGTTAATTAGCAATGATACCCAATTAGATACCAAATAGAATCCTGATTTTGGTATGGTTTACATCTATATTAAAGATAGTCCAATAGAACACAACTATTGAATAATAATAATAATAATAATACTGAACTAAATTAAAGGCCCACTAGAGCTTATGAAATAGTCTTCAAAGTAATTTACATCTAACTGTATCACATCTAAAGTCATCACACCACATAAAATAGTCTTTGAGGCAAGCTAGATAATAAAATAGGAATAAAATCAAAAGTTCTGCTTTGTAAAAGATCTGAATAGTAGAATTTTATCCCCTGAAGCACAAAAGGCTGGATGACATTGTCCTGTATCCCTTTCCCAAGCATCAAGCTTGCAATGAAGGTCACATTTCATATCTCAATAATAGATTGTTATAATTGTTATTAATAATATATTTTTTCTCTTCTGCCTTCAAATACAGAAAAACACAGTGTTCATGTTGATTTTTGGCCTCACAGATCCTCACATTCAAGTCTCAGTAATGAATTCCTGTTTGGGAGGAGAGTTTTATATCTAAATGAAGGTAACCAATTTGCTGATTAAAATGGATTTAAAATATTAATTTAACTTTTACTGCTTCTCCCCCCTCCCATCCTTGCTCCCTTTAGTTTTCTCCCCCTTACTGCTGTGGTTAATAGCATTTTTGTGGCTAGTAGTATTTTAATCTGATTAAACACAGATGCTTAAACTGGGGCCAAAACCAATACAATCAATAGGAAGATACAAGAACATACCAACAAGCTCAACAATCATTCAAACCCTGGTTTAACACTATATAAAAGAATTCATTTAAAACACTTATAACAACTTTATAAAGCCTAAGGGATGTTGAATTGATATAAAATGAATCTGGCTGATCTGAGGAGGTGCAAATTTGGGACCACTGAGCCCCCACAAGTCCCGCTCCCTCAGAGGGGCTTGATAAACCTGGGCAGGTTCAGATGCAGATCTAGATAAAGGTTCAGGTACAGCTATAGGTACAGGTTCATGTGCAGACATGGACAAAGGTTCAGGTCCAAGTTCAGATTCAGGCATGAACACAGGCACTGCTGTGGGTACAGATCCAGGCAGAGGTGTAACTAAGCGGGTTTCATGTACAGATTCAGGCACAGGTGCAGGTATAGACACAGGTACAAGCACAGGTTCGTGTACAGGTTCAAATTCAGGTACAGGTACAGGCTGGGGCACAGCTACAGATGCAGGTACAGGGTCAGGACAGGCACAGCTACAGACGCAGGTACACGGTCAGGACAGGCACAGCTACAGACGCAGGTACACGGTCAGGACAGGCACAGCTACAAGCGCAGGTTCGGTTCCAGGTCGGTGTCTGGGCCCGTTCCCGTGAGGGACCCACCGGGGTCCCGCTGTGGCTCCCGGGCAGCGCGTGAGGCGCGAGCGGCTCCGCGGGGCGGCGCCTCCGTTTGAACTCAAACCTCCCTCGCCGCTTCCCATTGGCTCCGCTGCGCGTCGCGCGCCGCCCCCTCCGCCAATCAGAGTTCGCCGCGCTCCTTTTCGAATCCTCAACGGTCAGCTCGGTGAGTTCGTTTCTCCTTCCGCCGCTCCGGGACGAGTCAAAGATAAAAGAGTTCCTCTGCCCGGTGCCGCTTG